CTCGTAGCTCAGTAGGTGGTCCTTGTAGCTCGCGTAGCTGTGCCTGTGGTCCTCGTAGCTGAGCTCGCAGTCCTTGCGGCGGTGCCAGTGGGTCTCCCAGCTGTGCCTCTCGGCCTCGTAGCTCAGCTTGTGGTCATCGAGGGTCTGCTGGGGGCCCTGGTAGCATTTCTGGTGGCTGTACCAGCTGTGCCTGTGGTCCTCGTAGTTCTGTGTGCTGTCTTCGTTGCCCAGTTGGTGCCTCTAGTAGCTCAGCTGGTGGTCTTCGTAGTTCAGCTAGTCGCACTCGTATCGCAGCAGGTGGCCCTCGTGGTTCAGCTTCTAGTCCTCGTAGTTCTGCTTGTGGCCTTCGCAGCTCAGCTTGCCGACCGCGTGGCTCAGCTGGTGGCTCTCGTGGCTCTGCTGGTGGCTTTCGTGGGTCGGCAGGTGGGTCTTCAGGCTCTTCCGGTGGCTCTCGTAGCTGTGCCTGTGGTCCTCGTAGCTCAGCTTGTGGTCCTCGAAGGGCCGCTTGTGACCCTGGTAGCTCTGCTGGTGGCTGTAGTAGCTCTGCTCGTTGCCCTCGAAGCTCAGGTTGTGGCCCTCGCAGCTTTGCATGTGGACCCCGTGGCTCGGCCGATGCCTCTCGAAGCTCTGGTCGTGGCTCTCGTAGCTGAACTGGTGGTTCCTGTACCTCTCCTGGTAGTCCGCGTAGCCCTGCTGGTGGTTCGGCTGGTGGGACTCGTAGCCCTGCCTGTCGTACACGTAGGTTAGCTCACGGTCTCCGAAGTTCAGCTTGTTGCTCTCGTGGCTCTGTCTGTGACTCTCGTAGCTCGGCAGGTGGCTCTTGAAGAACTTGTGGTGGCACTCGTAGCTGTGGTGGCACTAGTAGTCCTCGAACTTCAGCTTGTGGTCCCCCCCAGGTTGTCTGGTGGCCCTGGTGGCTCTGCTGGTGGCTGCAGCAGCTCAGAGGGGACGCTCTTTTCATAGTCCCCGAGGTTCGAGTCGGAGTCGTCGGCTGCCAAGTCGTAGTGTGCCACGTTCTGGAAGCCAGAGCAGTCCTGAGATTCGTAGGAGTACAGGTGGCGATCGAAGAAGCTGCCGTAGTCGTGCTCATAGTGGGCGGCGGCGCGGCCGTAGTCGTACTCGTCATCGGCGGCGCGGCCGTTGTGCACCGGTACCTCCACGGCGACGTACTTAGGCACCCTTTCGGGCTGCACGGTCGTGTCGTTCCTGGTGTGGGTCTTGGTGGCGTATTTGGTCTCGTAACGGTGGTGGTCGTCATTGGGCTGCCTGTTACGCAGCTCTTTCTGGTACTTGGAGTGCTTGTTACGCGGCTCGTGCTCGGACGCTCTCGCGAGGGCGGTCGTAGCAATTATAACGATTGTGTCGGGTCGAGTCTGTATCCCATGCCGGACGTTGTACCCCACTCGTTTTTGGGCTGCGTTGGGTTGCCTCCACGGTCTCGGCGTCCATGTCTCCACAACAGATGTTACGTGTCTTAGCTTTGTGGTTCAACAGCTGATGGTTGATGTTGTAGTAGTCATTGCGGCGCCCTCTGACGGCGGGCACGGCTCGCCAGGCGTGCGGCGCGCGCGCGGGCGAGTGCGGGGGATAGATCCCGCATGTGGCCTTCCTTCTCCTCCTCCTCCTTCTCCTCCTCCCCGTTCCCGCTTGGTCCTTCCTTCTCCCCCTCGACGAACCGCAAGCGCTGATCAAGGCGCGTTGAATGGCGACGGGTCCCGCAATGCGCCATCGACGTGCCTATAGCCAGAGTAAGGCGGCACTGGGGTGCGTACACCTGTGTTTACACGAGCACGCGACCACACGGCCGCACGTTTCGTGTCGATCGCAAACGCCGCCAAGCGCCGTGCCATCCTAAGTGGTAACATATTCAAATCCTACCGTGGCAGAAGAAAACAGTGGAAGCTGGAGATGCTCGAACAACTCCTCAATGCATTCCTGTGCCTGAGCTTTCCCACCGGCGATTTCGTCTTCAAGCAGTGCGACGGCGTGCCAATCGGAGGCAACCTTGTCTCCTCCCTCGTCTCTTCTTCTTCCTCCTCCCTCTTTCCTCCCCGTATCCTCCGTCTCTCACCAATCTCCACCCCTTCCCCCTCCCTCCAGGTTCGCCCTTCCTCTCCCCTCCCTGCCCGCCTTCCCCCGTTCTCCCCTCCCTTCTCCAATCTCCGCCCCCTCCCCCTCCCTCCTGGTTCTCCTGCCTCGCCTCCCCCCCCCCTCGTGCCGATTCATGAAGGCTATTCTATACAGCTGGATTCTCTGGTTCTCCGGTTTCTCTGGTTTCTCATGATGTTTCATACTGTCCACCCCCAGAAGTCGCTTCGCATTCCCTGGGACTGGTTTCTCATTCCGAGTCGTTTTCTGAAGTTCCTGGTGCCCGTCGAGGGCCTCCGGAGGCCGAAGCTGGCCCAAACTGCCAGCCGTGACTTTTTCGTGACCCGAGGGGGTCTGGGTTCGATGGCCGCCTCGATTTTGCAAGCCGACTTTTGGCGATGCCAGGCGTGACCGGGGGGAGATGGGGAGCGCGGGCACGGCCACGACGACGACCACGACCCGACCACGACCACGACCACGACCACTACGACCAACCACGACCACGACCACGGCCCACGTGGCGGTCACGGTCACCGCCACGGCCACGGCCACGGCCACGGCCACGGACAGCCACGGCCACAGCGCGACACGGCCACACAGACCCACGACCACGACCACGACCGCTGGTCGCGTCACGACTCGCGCTGGCGCCGTCTGGGAGTGCTCAGAAAGGGCTAATTCCCGCGCGGCGCCGGCGCGAATCGTGACGTGAGCGGGGGGGGGAGGGAGGGAGGGGGGGGCGGGGCCAGTCACCGGCGTTCTGGCGAACAATGACAACTTGTTCCAGGGGCCAGAGTGGTCTTCAGCAGATGCGCCTCGTCGTGAGCGGTCTGGGGGTTGGTGGGATCGTCCCGAAGGGCCGCCATGGCCGAGGTAGAACTCGACACCAGGGGGCAACGTCAGGTGTGGATGGGCTAAGGGACGGATGCGTCGGCCCCCAGTCGCCCACTAATCGCCGATGGGGGTCCGGTGGGTCCCCCCGCCCAGAAGCACGCGCATTCGCTATCGTGGGCCAGTCCATCGGCGACATGGGAATCGGGGGAAAGCTTTTTTAGAAGGATCGGGGAGATGTAAGACTCGAGTAAGCCGGAACTCGGGTTTGCCGACTTTTTTCTGACGAGCGAGTCCTGGATTTGGACGGTCCCGTTTTTCGTTGGATGTTTGCAGCGGTAGCGCGCGTCAAGTTTCCGATTGGATCTCGTCATTTCCATGATGGCCCCCGTCAGGCCAACCCGAGTCCCCCGTACCCGAGATGTACGCCTCCCCGAGAGGAGCCAGTCTCCTTCTATGGAAGCCTTCCCCCCGCCCCCTGTCGACGTTTCCCCTCCGAGCCGGCCCCCCGCCCCTCCCTCCCCAGGCCTCCCGGGGCAGGAGCGGGTGGCGCTGCCTTGCAGATCTCGGGGCGCGGCCACGCGCAAAGGGGGGGGTGGGGGGAGGGGGAGGGGGGAGGACTTCCCAGGAGGAGGCGGCTGCCTGGAAGGCGCGGGCCTCATCTTCAGGCGATCGCAAACATGGATGAAGCTGGGCGTAGATTAGCGACGGGTCCCGTCTCCGTATGGGAAATCGCGGATTTCCGCCGCCGAGCGAGGCGGCACCGGCCGCATTTTGGGGAGGGCACCTCCCCCGATCCATGGATTTGGCGACCGCGCGCCAAATCCATGGATCGCTAATCCATGTTTGCGCGCCCCCGACATCCGTAGATGCAAGGCCCGCGCCTTCTAAGGAGCAGCCTCCTTCTACGAGGCCCTCCCCCCCCCCTCCCCCTGCCCCCTCGTGTGCGCCGCCAGGGGTGGCGCCACTGGCAGCTCCAGCTGCAGGCCGAAGTCCGAGCCCTTCCCTCGCCCCTCCCTCTGCGCGGTCCACGGCCCCGAGCGCGCGCTCCCGCGCGGTGCCCGCTCGGGGCCGTGCACGCGCGGAACTCGTGCAGCTGTCGACGGTGCTGCACGGGCCAGGGCTCGTTTCGATTCCCTCGGTTCGATCCGATTCGATTTCGATGGCTTCCGATTCCGATCCGATTCGACTTTGGATTCCGATTCGGATTCCGATTTCTCAGTGGAGGCCTATTAGCCTGCCGATCTCCGCCGATTTGACTTCGCCCGACACGGCTGCCGATTTCCGCCGATCCGATCAATTTCGATCGCCGATCCGACTTTTCGATTCTGGGCTCGCCTGCGAGCTCCTTGATTGGCCCTGAGATCCGACGTTGCGAGCAAATTGCAACATCGCGAGAGAAATCACGACCAGCCCCAGGCCCCCATCTTTCTGCGGCGTTTTTCGAGCTGGATCGATCCGTGATGCTCCTGGGGCCCGAAACCAGACGAAAACGCCCGGTGTGAAGAAATTGCAACGCCGGGTCTCAGGAAGTCTTATTTAGATTTCGCTCTGGAGGTGCGATTCTTCCCCTCCCCCCCTACCCCCCTCAGTACCAGTTAACCTGGCCCCATCCCCACCAGGCCATGATTTCTCAGCCCGACCATTCCACCACCCCAGTTGGGGATAGACCCCATGCAGGGGGTAAAACGGCCAGCGGAGCCCAGTCCACGCCAGTGGGGATACAGTCAACCCGCACAGTAAGGATGGGCAGCCTTTCCAAGGGTACCCTTGCATCCTTGCCTCCTCGGCCCATCCTTGGCCGCTTTCGTTGGCCGCGGCTCGCTCGAGAAGCTTCGAAATGGGCGTCCGAGGCCCTTGCATCCTTAGCGCGCATCCTTACTGTACACCTTAGGCGATGCTTAAGAATACTTAAGTTTTCGGCCAGAGTCTCGATTATTCTTAACGTTTCAGTGTAAATCCTAAGTTTTTAGTAGAAATGTTGGGTTTTTATTCAAGATCTGAGACTATGAATTTCTTAACCCATGATTTCTTAAGCATTTCGCAGGGTGTACGGGTTGATTGTAGGGATCGCTTGAGCGATGCTCACCCCCGCGCGAGCAAGGCTGGCGCTGGGGCTGCTGCTGCTCCCGGGGTCCGACGGCGGCAGACTCCTGCAGGCGGCCTCCTCCGGGGAGCTGCTGGAGATCCCCTACGGGGCAACGGCGACGGGGGGGGGGCGGCTGCTGCGCCTCCTCGCTCCTTGGTTCGTTCTCCTTATACATACAGTCGGCCCAGATTAGTAGGTCGACCCTGCCAAATCAAGGGTACCATTGCGACCTGTGTCTCGCAACCCATGCCTCCTTCATTCCTATGGCTGTGTGGCCCTCTGAAGGGCCTTGTGTCATCTCGCGTGTCCTGTCCAATCAAGTCCGACTGTAACTCGTCCCTGTCGCACCCCGAGGCCGGTCGTTAGGGCGGGCCGGGCGTTTTGCTTGATGTTTCTCTACCATTCATGAGCCTCGAACTTACAAGCTGCCATCTGTTTCACAGATGGGCGGCGGGCCGCTTCCAACATGTGGCTCTCGCCGTAGCGCCGTGCACGTTTGATTTAAACATTTGCAAGACTTCACGCATTGAGGGCGGATGGTTTTCAAACTACTGTTCTCGCTTCACCGCCGCGCACAGTCGTTTCAATCAAATTGCAAGAGTTAAATGGCTTGAGGGCGGGGCGTTTTCAAAATGTGGCTCTGGCCGTAGCGCCGCGAGCATTCGTTTTCAAACACAATAGTTTCACGAATTAAGGGCGGTTCCTTGTTAATTTGCGGTTCTGGCCTCAGCACCGGGTACATTCGTTTTCAAACAGTGCACAACTTTTTTGGAATCCCATGGTTAAATTATCAGGAACGGTGTGTTGGAACGATTCAACATTGTCAGGGCGCAACATGTACACTGAGTCGCGGTGTCGAAGTCCCAGATGGTCTTTTTGGGATGATTCAGGATCGTCAAGATGTAACAGTCAGATTGTCGCTGAAAGGTCGAGAATGGTGTTTTGGCACGCTTAAGCGTTTGACTCCCAACGGGGCACTTCCTTCAGTGCAAAGGAATCCGTGTAAGTGCCTATGAAATGGGAGTTCGGAAGGGAGGTCCATTCTCTTGCACAGGGTGTCCAGAGCTCCGACCACTTTATTTTTCGCGTGGCAGCCCCCCTCCCCACCCTCCTCCCAATTGCAGGCTGACGCCCCTTTCCCCAGTCCCCACTGTCCCCGCTGCCCACCCGCAGACCAGTGTCCCGTCCGCCCCGACCACGACCATTTGATTCGTTGCGTCGCAGCCCACCCACCCACCCACCCACTCCGCACGCCCCCCCCCCCCCTCCCCCCCACAGGCCCCTCCGCCACCGCCCGCTGTCCTCCCGTCGCCCAGTGGCCCTTTCGCCCCGACCACTTTTTTTGTTCTGCGTCGCAGCCCCCCGCCACCGCCCGCTGTCCCCGCTGTCCTCCAGCAGCCCAGTGCCCCTCCGCGCCGACGCGCTTTCTTCTTCGCGTCACAGTCGCATCCCCTCCTCCCGCGCAGGGCCACCGCCACCGCCGCCGTCCCCGAGCCCCCCTCCCCACCCCTTCCCCTCGGCATGCCACCGCCCCTAACCCCCTGCCCCCACCGAGGGCTCCGCCCCCGCCCCCCGTCTCACCCCACTGCCCTCCGGCAGCATAGTGCCCCCCCCCGCTCCGATCAGTGTATTTTTCGCGTCGCAGCCCCCCGCCTCATCCCCCCCACCTTTCCCCCCTTCCCCGCGGCGCCAGTGTTCCCTCCGCCCCGACCGTTTGAATTTTCGCGTCGCAGCCCCCCCCCACCCCTCCCCGCCGCAGCGCCCCCTTCGCCCCGACCTTTTTTATTTTTCGCGCTGCAGCACACCAACCTCTCACGCAGGCCCCCCGCCACCGCCCGCTGCCCCCGCTGTCCTCCAGCAGCCCAGTGGCCTTCCGCCCCGACCACTTCAGTTTTCGCGTCGCACCCACTTCTCCCCCTCCCCCCGCGGGCCACCGCCGCCGCCACCGTCCTCCAGCCCCGCCCTCCCCGTCCCCCCCCTTCGGCTTGCCGCTAGCCCTTCCCCTCATCCCCGCCGTGGCTCCCGCCCCAGCCCCCTTGTCCCCACTGTCCTCCAGCAACACAGCGCCCCCTCCGCCCCGACGCTATCCGTCGCACGGCCGCAAAGCGTGGCAGGCGTGGCACTTCTTCGACGCCGCAGATGGTGCGCACAATGTATGGGCGCCAGCCGTCGCACGCTTGCCGTCGTACGCTTGCAGAGCGTGGCAGACGTGTAGTTTCTCGACGCAGAGGGTATGCGCGGGGGGTGGGGGCGCTATCTGTCGTACGCTCGCGAAGCGCGGCATGCGTGGTATTTTTTTTGACGCCGCACGGAGTGGGGGCGCTATCCGCCGCACGCTCGCAAAGCGTGGCAGGTGTGGCACTTCGTCGACGCCGCAGGGGTCTCGCTGGAGGTGGGGGCGCTAACCGTCGAGCGCGAGCAAAACGTGGCAGGCGTGACAATGTCTAGACGCAGGGGCGGGAGCGCCATCCGCCGCACGCTCGCAAAGCGTGGCAGGCGAGGCACTTGTCTCGACACCACAGGGTGTGAGCAGGATGCTGGGGCGCCATCCGACGTACGCTCGCGAAGCGTGGCAGGCGTGGGACACTACGAGGGGGTGCGGGCGCCATCCGTCGTATCGCTCGCAAAGCGTGGCAGCCGTTTTAGTTTCTCGACGCCGCATGGGTGTGCGGATGAGGCGGGCGCCATCCGTCGCACGCCCGCAAGGCGTGGCAGGCGTGGCATTGCTTCGACGCCGCACGGCTTGCGCCGGGGTTAACGGCGCTGGCCGTCGTGCGCTGGCAGAGCGTGGCTTGCGTGCACCTCTCGACGCAGAGGGTGTGCGCAGGGGGTGGGGACGCCGTCCGTCGCACGCTCGCGAAGTGTGGCAGGCGCAGCGTTTTCACGACAGCACATGGGGGGTGCGGAGGGGGTTGGGGCGCTTTTCGTCGCACGCTCGCAGCGCGTGGCAGGCATGGCAGTTTCTCGACACTGCATGGGGTGCGCAGGAGGGTGGGGGCGCTAGCCGTCGTGCGCTCGCAGAGCGTGGCAGGCGTGGCACTTTCTCGACACCACGGGGGGTGAGCTCGGGGTGGGGGCGCTAGCCGTCGTGCGCTCGCAGAGCGTGGCAGGCGTGCCACTTTCTCGACACCACATGGGGGTGAGCTGGGGGTGGGGGCGCCATCCGTCGCACGCTCGCAGAGCGTGGCAGGCGTGGCACTTTCTCGACACCGCTGGGGGTGCGCAGGAGGTGGGGGCCCTATCCGTCGTACACTTGCAAAGCGTGGTTTGCGTGCACTTTTTCGACGCAGAGGGTGTGCGCAGAGGGTTGGGTGCAGAGCGATGGCGTAAGGAATCATATTCATATGCGGGGCTCCTCGGTAGCGTAATGTGTTGGTTTGTTTGAGTGTGTGCTGGTGTGTGTTTGTTTGTTTGTTTGTTTGTTTGTGTGTGTGTGCTCAGATACACGTGCGCGTCTGAAACGACAAGGACGTCGCCTCATCGTGGTGCTCTTTCCCCGCTTTTTCTTTGCCACGTATCGTCTGATCTGGCGGGTCACGCTTGCCACCGTCGTGCCCGTACAGTCGGCCCAGATTAGTAGGTCGACCCTGCCAGCTCAAGGGTATCCTTGTGCCCTGTGCCTCGCGACACGTGCCTTCTTGCACCCCAGTGGCGATGTGGCCTTCGCAAGGGTCTCGTGCCCTCTCGCGTGTCCTCTCCAGTCAGGTCCGACTGTACAGTGCGAGCCGCTGCGCAGCGCCGTCTGCCTACGGCTATCCCCCCCCCCCCCTCCTCCCCCCCTCCGGGATCGGCCGCTGCCCCTGCTTCTCTTTCCTCCGCTCTGGTCGCTGGCGAAGCCAGTAGCTCGAGCTTGGAGAGGTGTGCTCAGCTGTTGAGCTGAGCGCAGTGGTCGGTCGGATGGATCTCTCCTCTACGCTGCGCTCCTCCCCCCCTCCGGGATGACGTCGGCAGGGCAGGTGCGCCTCCGAGGCCTCCAGCGGCAGGTCGAGCTCAACGGCCAGACCGGGCACGTGAAGGCTCTCGCGCGGCGTGCGGAGGGAGCGGCCGTGGAGGACAGGGGGGGCAGCGAGGGGCAGCGCGAGGGGCAGCGAGGAGTGCGATGCAGGCAGACAGGAGGTGAAGTCAAAAATGAGGACCGGGAGGATCCTGATGATGATGATGATGCTGATGATGATGATGATGATGCTGATGCTGATGATGATGATGCTGATGATGATGAGGATGATGATGAATGCGGAGTTATGGACACTGAATCCTTCGCACGGAATCGTTCGTACGGAATGCCGAGACACAAGGTCCTCAGTAAGTGATTTTTCGTCGGGATCTTTGGTGAGGGACATTTTGTAGTAAATCTGTTTTTTCAGCAACGCGTCAGTAGTATGGGGCACGCACCAATGAGTTCTTGGTAACGAATCAATCGTGTGGCAGAATCCGGAAGGAACCCTGAGCGAAGAGTCCTGACTAAGGAATCCTCACCACATAGTCCTTATTAACAAATCCTTTTCAGGGAGCCCTCATTTCAGATTTCATAGGAGGGAATCCTTGGCAAGGGATCCTTCATACGGAAACTTTTACAGGAACCCAGGGTCTGTGATCCTCAGTAAGAAATCTTCCGTAAGGGATCCTCAGTAGGAAATTTTTATTCGGGAGTCTTCACGCAGTAGTCCTTAGTCGGGAATCCTCAATCGGGAGTCCTCACTCATGGAGCATCAGTCACTGCGCCTTGGCAAGGAATCTTTGGTAATGAGGCCTGCGTAGAGAATCCTTTTGTAAGGGTTCTCAGTAAGGAGACCTTGCTTGGGAATCCTGATTCAGGAGTTCTTAGTAGGAAGCCCTTAGTAGGGAATCCAAAGTCAGAAATTATGAATAAGGAGTCCTCATTAAGGAATCCTGAATTAGGGACCCGATGCGAGGATCACTAGTAGCGGCTCTTAGTGAGGAACTCTTAGTGCGTCCGTAGGGGGGAAGCCTTCCTACGGAATCCTAATTATGAGGCTCCGCTACGCAAATCGTAGGAAACAGTTCTGCGTAGTGACTCCGTACGAAGGAACCCTTTTCAACAAATTTTTAGCGAGGAATCTTTGTCTGAAAGCCTCAGTAAATATTCTACATCTAGGAGTCCTTGCTGAGGAATGCTTAGTCGGGCATCATTAGCCGCGAACCATGTGTAGTTCTTATTCACGATTGCATGCGGCGGAATCCAGAGCCGACGCTCCCTCGTAACGAGTTCACAGGACGGAATCCTGAGTACACGATTTTTTCGTAAGGGCTCTAGGTACGGGGTTCTTAGCCATGGGCCCTTAGCAAGGAATGCGAGGAAATTCATATTCTTTTGGGAATACGTATTCCGTGTTTCATAATACGGAATCCTTAGGCGGGAATCCTCAATAAGAAGTCTTTGGTAATGCATGTTTCGTAATGCGAGGGGGCGAAACACACGGCCCTTCGGCAGTTCTTTTCGGACCCAGGAACAATTGGGACCAGAGGGTCCAGAGGGACATGTTTTTCTTTATTCCCCACATCCTAAGTGGGGCTCTTGTTTGCTATGCGCACCTCTGCGAAATAACCTCACACTTCACTCCTCCTCCTGTCATCACAATCCCACCAGGAGCACCGATCGTCATGATCACCCGTTCGCTCTCTCGGTCATTCACTCACCATTCACTCATGGGTTTTCAGGTCTTGATTCCGTCACGGCCATCGGCAATCATCATCATCATCATCATCATCATCATCATCATCAACCACTCACACGCGCCCTTCGCTCACGCAGTCACATTCACTCATCATCCGCCCACTCATCATCATCATATCATCGCCCGCCATCGTGTTATCGTCATTAATTGCGCCATCATCCCACACCCTGTCCTTCTCATCACCATCACCCTCACTATCGTCATCATCATTCTCATTCGCTCGCGCACTTACCTGTCGTCACTTTTGGGTTTCCCAGGCCTGAATCTTGAGTAAGTCTTAGGCGGGAGCCCCCTCCCTATGGGGCCTGCACTTCCTGTTCTAATCCGAGCGGGTCATCCAAACCTTCAGCAATCGTCACGTTTTGACTCCCCAGGCCTAAACCCGTAGGAAGTCTCAGGCGGGAACCCCCTCCCTATGGGGCCCGCACTTGATGTTCTAATCCGGGCGGCTCATTCAAGTCCTGTTACCGTCGTTACTTTTGGTCTCCTCAGGCCTGAATATAGAGGATGGCTCAGATGGGAGCCTCGCCTGTGAGCGGACTTACAGGACGTCTCAGGCGGGAGCTCCCTCCCTATGGTGCCAGCACTTCATCTTTGACTCCGAGCGGGTCGTCCCAATCTTGTAGTTCTCGTCACTTTTGGGCTCGCCGGGGCTGAATCTTGAGGACGTCTCAGGCGGAAGCCCCCTCCCTGTGGGGCCCGCAGTTCATGTTCGAACCCGAGCGGGTCATTCAAATCTTGTATAAGGCGCCAATCTTGGGCCCGTCAGGCCTGAACATAGAAAAAAGGCCCAGGCGGGAGCTCCCTCCCTATGGGGCCCGCACTTCATGTTCGAATCCGAGCGGGTCACCATCCACATCCTGTAGCTTTTGTCATTTATGGCCTCCCCAGGATTGAGGATAGAGCAAGTCTCAGACGGGAGCTTCGTCTGTGAATGAATCGCGAGGAAGTCTCTGGCGGCAGCCCCCTCCCTATGGGGCCCGCGCTTGCTTCATGTTCTAGCCCGAGCGGGTCATCCAAATCTTGTAATGGTCGTCACTTTTGGGCCCCTTCAGGCCTGAATTTTGACGAAGTCTCAGGCGGGAGCCCCCTCTTTATGGGGCAGGCGGGAACCCTCACTATGGGGCCCGCACTTCATGTCCTAATCCGAGCGGGTCATCCAAATCCTGTAAGTGTCGTCAGTTTTGGGTTCCCCAGGCTTGAATCTTGAGGCAGTCAGGCGGGAGTTCCCTCCCTATGGGGCTCGCATTCACGTACTAATTCGAGTGGATCATCCAAATCTGGTAACATTTCTGGGCTCCTCAGGCCTGAACATAGAGAAAGTCTCAGGCGGGAGCCTCGTCAGTGAGTGAATCGCGAGGAAGTCTTAGGCGGGAGCCCCCTCCCTTTGGGGCCCGCGCTTCATGTTTTAATCCGAGTGGGTCATCCAAATCCTGTAACCGTCGTCGCTCTAGGGCCCCTCAGGCCTGGATATTGAGGACGTCTTAGGCGGGAGCCCCCTCCCTATGGGGCCCGCACTTGATGTTCTAATCCGAGCGGGTCATCTGCATCCTGTATCTACAGTCCTTTTCGGGCCCCTCAGGCTTCAATCTTGAGGAACCAGGGCGAGAAGGACGATGATGATGAGGAGGAGGACGCCGAAGCGGGAGGAGGGCCTGCGCCAGTCGAAGAGGAAAAGGGCGAGGGGCGAGCGAAATAGATTCTCATGTGGGGTCCTACCGTCGGGGTCACTGCTTTTGTATTCGAGCGTTTCCCCCATGGCCAGACCCCCCCTCAAACGGAGTCTATGTGTAACACCCCATGAAGTGAATCTAGGCGTGGCCCCCGCACTCGAAGGGAAGCTAGTTGTAACAACCCACAGAGCAAATCTATTGAACCGCCTCCACCCCACAAGGAGATATAACACAATCCGAGCGTCATCTGGAGAGTGAGAGAGGGAACGAGAGGGAGAGTGAGAGAGAGTGGGGGAGAGATGCAAGCTTGAAAAACACAGAAGAACGTGGGGCCTGTCATCCACCAGGCCCCTTTGAACCCCAAGCCGAATGTCGACCTGCGCCAGTTGCTCCTCACAGTCCTCGATTTCCGATGGCAACGCGACCACCATCTGCCTCACCACAGAGTAGAAGACAGCTTTTAAGCCCGTGGAAACTGCAAACGTGGAGACACTAGTGACCCTTTAAACCTCCATTTGTGCCAATAGGCAATGGGCCGCAAGGTCGGTGCCTAAGCCTGACCTGCCTCTGGACTGGGCTTCTTTCAGAATGAACGCCGAACCGGTGGTGTTGAGTCTGGGAACCTGTTGATGAAACGTGGTGCCCAGCATATTGAATAAAGTGATGCTATGCATGCTGGTTGCCATCCGTCTGGCTTGCCTTTACTGAGCGCAACCAGCTCCGTTCGCTTGAAGTCAAATTGGTCTTTGGCTGAAGCCGCAGCCTTACGTACACCGGATGGTGCAACCCCGCAGCCTCAGAGGCCGCCATTTTCAATAATTCTCCAGCATCCTGTCAGGGCCTCCCGCTTTTCCTCCAGATAGCTGCCCGAAGTCCAGGGCAACAGTCGCTAGCTCAGGTCTCGCTTCCATCGCTCGCTAGTGCTCGGGGGGAGAGCACACCTTTTGTGGTACACGTCACGAACCTAGGTGGGTGTGACCTCTGGTGCCTTTTCGATTCCAGCAAAGTGCCGCTGATGGTCATCAACTACCTTCTGCGGGGTGTCAAATATCTCGCCCTCTGGGCTCAGACGCATCGGGAAAACTCAAACTTGGCTCTTTCCCCCCATCTGAAGCAATTTGCAAACCTGCCCCCGCTCCCTTTGTTGCAACCTAACGTCTAGAGACATCGTGATGTGCTGCCTCTGGCTTTTCACGACATTTGCCATGTCTTGGTCAAGTCATACTCGCAGCATGTGCCTGCTCTGATGCAAGAAGCGGCCACCTGCAGCACAATATCGAAGGATCCAGTACGCCTCCACTTGAATCCTGTGCTGGCGTGAGCAGCTTCGGCCATGCCTCTCGAAAACCATCCGAGGTGGCGCCTGAATCTAGCAACATAGCCGGGCTCCATTCATGTACATCTTCTTTGCGATCTCTTCGCATGATCGCAAACAATTTGTTGAAGCCTGACTGCAGCCCCTGATTCTTGACGAAATATTGACTCCCCGACACGACCCTGCGGGCACGAATTAGGGCAAACGTCGTCTGGGAGATAAACGGCTTTCTCGGCTTGACATCTCTTGAATATCCTCCTGGAATTGGCGTTAATTGTGTCCTCCTCCTTCTCCTCCTCCTTTCCCATGTGCAGATGCAGTATGTGCAGGCGAAGGGACGCCGGCTCGGACAGGGCATGTAGTCACAGGTAAGATGTGATCTTCGGGTTGCTTTGCCCTACATGGGCAAAATGGTTTCCCAAGGTGCAAAGCCTCCCGCATGTCTGCGCATCACGCGATGGGATCACTCGGGGGAGCCACGTCCTTCAGGACACCTTGGTCGGCGGATACAGCATGATTCAGCGCAGTTGGAATGGATAGGTGGGAGGTGTTGTATGTCAGTTATTGTGCGAGGGCACCTAGCTCGTCAATTACACATCATGAGTACAGTCGAGAACCCGATTAAGGAAGCTCCCCGAAAAGCTGGGCCAGCGTTACTTAGCCAGATTTCTGGAACGCTGGCCCAGTTTCCTGTGTACGCCCGCCTCTGCAGCATCGACAACAGATGTTGCCCCAGGTATGTTTGAAGAAACTCCCAGGAGGTTGGCCCGGATGTCTGAAACCATCTTTTCCTTGCTCACATTTTCGGCTGTATTTTTCTCCCAGCTGCTCTGACTCTGTCTGGACGGCATTCGGCCCTCTTCGCGTACTGGTATTACACAGGATTTCAAGATTTGGTTTTCTTTTGTTTTATTACACTAAGGATTTCACATTTGGATTTCTTTCTGATCGTTTTCGGTTCTTCAGAAAAGGGTTCCCGCTGCAGCGCTGGCCTCATTCCCGCGCTTGTGGTCTTTCAATATCGTGCTCCCGCTGCAGCGTTGGCCTTATTTCAGGATCGGCGTTTTGCTCCCGTCGTTCAGAATGAGGGGCTCCTTGTGCAGTCCTAGGTCTGCCACGACGCGCGTCGGCGGATAGAGAAAACACATGGACGGGACGGGTGGGATGGGTATGATGTCATACATGGCGCGAGCGCGCCTAGCTTGCCTCTTCGCCTTCCCTCCTCCCGTCCTCCCCTCCTTCTCCGCCTCCTCTTTGCTCCCTCCTCCTCTCCTCCTCTCCTCCTCCCTTTCCTTCCCTCCTCCCCGTCTTCCCCTCCTCCTCCTCGTCCTCCTCCTCCTCTTCTCCTCTTCCTCCTTCTCCTCCTCTCCCTTCCTCCCGCCCCCCCTCTCCTCCTACCCCCCCCCCCCCCTTCCCCCCCCCTCCCCCTCCCCTTACCTCCCGCTCCCTCCCCCTCCCGCCCGCGCGCGCGCGCGCGCGCCCCGCAGGCCTTTGACAAGAAGGCCGACAGGTACGAGGTGTGGCTCGAGGGCGCCAACAAGGGTGCCAGGACGGCCCGCCCGCTGGTGGCAGGGGCGGGATGTCCGTGCTGCCGCAACTGGTTTTGAGCTTTCGGTTCCATCCTTGCGGCCCCTCCAACAGTGGAGGGATCCAAGACGGCGCTGTGGAGCTGGACGCTTCCTCCTGCGGAGTCGATCCGATCTCGGGGGGATGACGTCGGGGGCAACGTCAGTGGGGGACAGGCGCCGGGGCGATGCGGCCAGGTGCGGCTTTCCCAGAATCGAGGCTTGAGGCTGTCGGACATGTTCGTAGATTCTCGGCGGTGTTCCGGCCCGGGGATGCGCTCCAGCAGCTGCGCCCGGTCGAGAACGTTCCGGGGAGGACGCTGGGGTCGTCCTGCATGACCGCCAGACAGCCGAGTTATGACCCGCAAGCCAGGGGGCAACGTCAGGGGGGGATGGGCTCAGGGGATGGTGCATCGACTCCCAGTTGCCCACTCATCGCCGAGAGGGGCCCCATGGCCCCACCCCGCCCAGGACCGTGCGGTCTTGGTGTCGGGAGCCCATCGCCGATCTGTCGGCGATGCATGGCGATGCATGGTTTCGTCACCGTTGTCCTCATGTTCCTCCTCCTCCTTTTCCTCCTCCTCCACCATCTTCCACCACATATACCACCCACCGGCACCAGGTGCCAACAACAGTCCCTGTACCAGAACGTTTGTCATTCAACCTTCACGAGTATCTCCACAGGGTTAATACTTACCCTCAAGGGCATTAGCACTACACTGCAATCTTCCTTCTTCGTCCTTCATGCCAAAGGGGGACGATGCTCGGTGGTGTCATACATACGACATAGAACCAAGGGCAGGCGGCCTTGAAATCGCCCACAAGGGCGTTCATGTCGTTCACTCGTCCTCCTCCTCCTCCTCCTTCTCCTCCTCCTCATACAGGCCACCCACTCCACCTCCACAAAGACAGGGCATAACGGCGAGGCTGCTCTTATTTGCCCCTCCCCATCCCACCCCCCAAACATAGAATACAGAGCCCCAGTCCCTTCCCAACCCACTCAGCGACAGGTGAGAGGGTGACTCTAAGTGCAAATACCTCCTCCTCCTTCATTCTCCCATGTCCCCTTGGGGCCGTCAGACTCAGTCGAGTCTGGCTGGCCTTCCCTCGGCTGGCACACTCAGGCGCGCACTTCCAAGGACAGCCAAACCGAGCCCTCTTCCCTCTTCGTCCCCCCTCCTCCCCGCCTCCCTTTCGGTGCCCGAGCTGATGAAAATCCCTCCCTCCCCTCTGGCTCTATCCCTCATGCCTCCCCAGCTTCCTCCGCCACCAGCCCACCTCAAGCTACAGCTCTCGGAATCTGTCCGCCGACGGCTCCCATGCCGCCGCCAGAGGTCTCCGCAGGTCCCTGTGGGTGTCTGCCCCCCCCCCCCCTCCCACCCAGAGGCTTCCGAAGCCTTCCTGGGCGCGCACGAGGGGTTAAAACGCTGACCCACGAAGGTGATGCAAAGTTAGCACTGCTGGTCCCACGCATGTGCTATGCTCTTACCCTGTGCTTCTCTTCCCCTTCCCTCTGCTTCTGCAGCAGCTTTTTGATCAGGTGGACCGCTTGTTCCGCCCTCCCTCTTTTTATTCTGCCTGCCCGCGCTTAGGCGACGTGACGAGGTGCCGCTTGCCCCTCGCTTTGGTCACTCCTGCCTGCCGCTTGCCCCTCGCTTTCGTAACCCCTGCCTGGCGCAGTGCAGAACCTGGGTGGAGAGCAGGCTAACGCGCACATGCCTCGATCCCCTTACGTTTCCGGGGCAGCCCGAAGGTACCTGAGGACGCGTCTCCTGGGCAGCCCGCATGTACCTGAGGACGCTTCCCTGGGCAGCCCGAATGTACCTCGATCATGGCGTCACCCCAGACGCCCGGCTGGCTGCCTCTCTACAGCCTCGCCTAGAGGCTGGCGGGAGCCCGCGCCCTCCCAGCGCCAGGCCTGCTCGCCTTCGCGGCGCCGCTTCCGCGCTCCTCCCTGGCTCACTGCCAGACCTTTCAGAGGGCCCCAGGGCGGCCCATGGGGCTTCAAGGAGGTTCAACATAATATTCAAGACGTTCCCAGATGCGCACCCGAAACAGTTTCCGAAGGCACCAGGCGGTCCAAGAGTGCCCGACGACGGCCCAAGACGCCCCCCCCCAAAAACCCGAGCACGCCGCCAACGGCCCCCAATGGGTCGGCGGTGTGGCGTAAGCCTTCGAATCTTTTAACCGATCCCCATCCCCACCAGGCCATGCTATCTCAGCCTCACCATCCCACCACGTCAGGTGGGGATAGGCCCTTCGACTTTCGAAGGGAACAGCCGATATCCCCATCCAGGGGTGCACATCGGCCAGTGGGGCCCAGGCCGCGCCATTAGGGATAGGAATCGGTGAACAGTTTTCTTCACGCTTCGCGTATCATCACCAGCCCATTCAGAAACCCTGCGCATGAGCGTCATCCGGGAAAAGGGATGAACAGACACATAGAGTGAAGCACGGCGGGCAACCAGGTGGTGGCCTTCAAGGGCTTCTTCGGGCCATGTATTGGGCCCGCGTGAGGGCGAGGACGAGGAGGATGAGAAGGAGGAAAAAGAGGAGGACGAGGAAGAGGAGGAGCAGGAAGAGGAGGAGTGGGATGATGATGATGATGATGATGATGATGATGATGATGATGATGATGATGAGGAGGAGGAGGAGGAGGAGGAGGAGGCGGAGGAGGAGGAGGAGGAGGAGGAGGAGGCGGCGGAGGAGGAGGAGATGATGATGATGCTGCTGATGATGCTGATGATGATGATGCTGATGATGATGATGCTGATGCTGATGCTGATGCTGATGTTGATGATGATGAGATGAGGATGAGGATGAGGATGAGGATGATGATGAGGATGATGATGCTGCTGCTGCTGATGATGCTGATGCTGATGCTGATGATGCTGATGATGCTGATGTTGATCATGCTGATGCTGATGATGATGAGGATGATGAGGATGATGATGATGACGATGCTGATGATGATGATGATGATGATGATGATGATGATGATGATGATGATGATGATGATGATGATGATGATGATGATGATGATGATGAGATGATGATGATGATGATGATGATGATGATGATGATGATGATGATGATGATGATGATATGATGATGATGATGATGATGATGATGATGATGATGATGATGATGATGATGATGATGATGATGATGGATGATGTGGAGGAGAGGAGGAGAAGGAGGAAGGAGGAGGAGGAGGAGGAGGAGGGAGGAGGAGAGGAGGGGGAGGAGGAGGAGGCGGAGGAGGAGGCGGAGGAGGAGGAAGAGGAGGAGGAGGAAGTGGAGGAGGAGGAAGAGGAGGAGAAGGACGACGACGACGACGAGGAAGAGGAACAACATGAAGGGGAAAACGATGCGGTCAAGGACGAGGACGAGGACCAGGACAAGGAGGAGGAGGAGGAGGAGGAGGAGGAGGAGGAGGAGCAGGAGGAGGATGACAACGGGGACGAGGCCACAACCCTCAAATCCGCCTCTTGAGCGCTCTTTGGGTTTGTTGGGGGGGTCTTGGGGGCCCTCTTGGGGCCCTTTTGGGGTAACTCGGGGCCCTCTCGGGCCCTCTACGGGGCTCTCTTGGGGATTTCCTGGGAGCCCTGGACCTCTTGGGGCCATTTTGGATGCCGGGGTCCCTTATCTGTGCCCCTTCCCGCAAGAGTCCTCAAAACCGTCTCCTGGGGCCCTCTTGGAGCTCTCCTGGGGCCCTCTTGGAGCTCTCTTGGGGCACTCTTGGACGCTCTTGGGGCTGGCTGGGGGGCCTCTTGGGCCCCTCTTGGGACTCACTTGGGCCATCTTGGGGTCATCTTAAGACCTCAAAAGCGCATCGGAAGCGAAACGGCGAGCAGGCAAACGTCACTGGTTTTCCTAAGGTTTTGACAGATTTTTGCTTCGGGGGGGTCCTGATGTGGGCTCCGAGAGCACTCGGAGCCCTCTTGGAGCGGTCTTTGGGACCTCTCGGGGCATCTTGGACGCCATGTTGAGCCATCTTCGGCTATCGGCAGCAATCTTGGAGGCCAGCTTGGAGCATCGGAGGCCCTCTTCGAGCCATCTTGGGCGAAAAAGGACTCTCTGCCACATCGCGGCTCCCTCTATCCAGACCCAGGGGCAGGGAGCGGGGGGAGGGGTAAACCCCTCTCCGAAGGGGAAGAAGGGGAGTGGAAGAGAAGACGCTTTAAACCACCTCCGCCCAGAGGGCTGGCGGGATTCACTGGCGTGCCGAGACCGCGTGCACGTGCCCATTAGAACACGCGTGTGTTTCAGCGTTCTCTTCGCGCGGCTCCCCTGGGAGCCTGCCTCAGAGGAGGAAGTGGTACCGATACCGCTACCCTTCATTGGTTTTCGCCTGGGAGGCCCCCGTAGCCACTACGGAATCCGCCTCGAAACCCTGGTCAGAAAGCATCCTGGGAGATGCTCAGGGAGTATTGGTATCGGTATCTTTTGGTTTCCCCACTTAAATGTTCGTTTTTGGGAGCTTCCTGGGTCCCACTTGACGGATCAGTTTGATTCTACTTCGAATCTAGTTCGACTCTAGCTCGACTCCAGCTCGACTCAAACTCGACTCAAGGTCGACTCACGCCGACGGAGTTCGACGCATCATCGACGCATGAGTGCAGCGAGTGGCTCCTGGAAGGTTACTGGAACGAGCATGTCTGAACACGCGTGTTTTTCATCGTTCTCTTCGCACGACTTCCCTGGGAACCTGCCGCTGCAGCAGTGCTCGTGAAGATATTCGTTCCTGGAGCTCGCGCTACGCCGTTGCTCTCCTCACGGCCGCCTCTCCCCTCTCCGTGCGTCCTGTGCTCAGGTTGCGATTCCGTGCCCTGGTGTGCCGCCCCGACGGCGCTGCGCGTGCGCCAGCACTGCGACACAGTGTCTTCCAGCGCTTTCCCGTGGTAACTTCCTGCGCCAGTGCAGACTGCATGCGTTCGCGGATGTGCAGAGAGAGAGAGAGAGAGAGAGGGGGAGGGAGAGAGAGAGAGAGAGAGAAAAGCGCGGATGGAAAGAGAGAACAAGAGAGAGAAAGAGAGACATGGAGGGAGAGAGAGAGAGAGAGAGAGAGAGAGAAAGAAAGAGAGAGAAAGAGAGAGAGAGAGCGAGAGCGATATATATACATATATATATACATATATATATGTATAGAGAGAGATAGAGAGAGAGAGAGAGAGAGAGAGAGAGACGGAGAGGGAGAGGGAAATGGAGAGAAAGCGAGTGTGCACTGCGCTGTGGTTCCCCCCCCCTCCTCCAACGCCCCCCCCCCATTTCCCCCCCGTCGCCCCCCGCGCCTGTGCCACGGCGGCGGGTCCCGCGCTGGAGCGCGAGCGTCGTCGCGATGCGCAGGTGGTTTTGGTGCGTCGGCGCGCAAGGAGCTTGTATTGTTACGTCGGGTCTGCCCCTCAGTCAGTCAGTGGGCCGTGCATCCTGAGGTCGCGTAGGCAACAGAGCACATCAAACAGTTAGGGTGGTGCGCCAAAAGCGTCCCACATACAGTCAAGAGCAGCCCGCCAAACGCGAGGGTGGTGCGCCGAACACACACGAGTCACAAACTTGCAAACACTTCTTTTGCCCATTGTTGTCTTGGTCGGCCTCGGCGACGGCGGTTGGCCCAATTTTTCCAAACATGATATGGGGGAACATGCGTCCAAACATAATATGGGGACGATTTTTGGAGTATTGTTCGATCATGTTTGAGCATTTCTGTTTTTTCTTGACTTTCCTCCAAACACTGCCTGTACGGGGGCATGTCCGACCTGATTGTACAGGCGAAGCGTTGGAAGAGGGATCACTTTGTCTCTGGCAGGAGATCTGGGCTCCTTGGGGTCCTTGTTTTGGCGTTCCCTCGAGCGCTCCTCCCAGGCGCTGGTCGCGGCTGGGGCCATAACGAGGGGCTTCGCGTTGTACCTCTGGCTCTTCATGGCGGGACCCTGCTTGCATGCACGCGCTGCGCCCCAGAGAGCTTGACAAGGGCCCGACTGGGAGCCCAGTCTCGTCTCGCGCGTGGGCAGGGTTCGCCTCGCGCCCACGCGGGGAGGAAGTGTGCAGAGGCGAGGGGGCGGAGGAGGAGGAGGAGGAGGAGGAGAATGAGGAGAATGAGGAGGAGGAGGAGGACCCGTGTAATCCCAAGACTCGTTAACGATGTTGCGACAAACTTTCCTCCAAGCTCCCTCTTCATAGGCTCCTCCAAGGCCCATTTTCACTGCGGGAAGAGCCCCGTTGCAAGACAACCGTCGGACCATCTTCAACCGTTCCAAAGCACCATTTCTCGGATTTCAACGCCGCGAATCAACGTTATCGTTGCGACCTGACGATCCGAAATTGTGCCATAACACAATTTTTTGGGACGTCCGCACCGCGAGCCAACGTGACTGTCGCGCCCTCGCAGTCCAGGATCGTGCCACATAACCGTTTCTCGTACGCCAGCCATGGTAATCTTTGACCGTTCTGTAAATCTTCTGACGAATGTGCGCGGCGCTTTTGTGCGAGAGCCATATGTTGAAAAGGAACCGCCCTCCGTCTCAGAAGCTCCTGCGAGCTTTGAAGGCGAACGTGCGTGGCGCTAAGGCGGGAAACACATTTTGAAAACGGCCCGCACTCCATCCGTGAAACTCTTGGGAATTCCAAGCTTCAGGGTCATGCATGGTGGTGACGTCTCAAGCGAAACGCCCAGCCCGCCCTACCGACCCGTCTCGGGGCGCGACAGGGAGGCGTTGTTTATATGGAATAGGGATGGAGGCGGATGAGGAGGAGGCGGAGGAGGAGGAGGAGGGGGAGGAGGAGGAGATGGGCGTGGGCGAAGAGGAGCAGGCGGATGATGTAGATGAGCATGAGGTTGAGGAGTGAGGATGGAGGAGGAGTCGGAGGAGGAGGATGAGGTGGATGGGATTGAATGAGTAACATGTAGAGGAAGTGGCAGTTGGGTGTTGCTGGTCGCCGGGGGAAGCGCAGAGTATGTGAGACGGGCCGAGGATACGCCCAGCCAACCTCGAGGTGCTCGAGGCCGCGCATGTGGGCGTCAAGGCCAGGTTGTCTTTGTAGCGCTTGTAATGCATATGCCGCAGATCGTTACCGTATTGAACTCACTTGCCTGGAGGAAAGACTGTTTGCACGTGGCGCAGTGTGTTCTGCTCCGCAGTGTGTCTGGTCGAGTAACCTCGAATGCCCGGCCCAGATCGCCAATCGAGTCTTCTTGCTCTCGATGCCACTCAGCTCGCCCGTTTTTTGGGGGTTCGCTCCACTTCTCTATTCCACGTGCTCTATTGTCGGAGCTTGCCTGCTTCGCTTATAACGCTTTCTTTCTAGGCTAAGTTGTATACTACAATGTATGATTAGCATGTTGGACCACTGTGTACATCGAGGAGCAAGCCAGTCGGGCTCAACCAGGTGGCTCACGTTCTTCTCCGAGCAGACCTAGCTAATCAGGGTGGCCAAATATTGGGGATAGAGTTGGGTACGCATCAGGCGCGCTTGGGCAAAGACGGATGCTACACCAGCGAAGGCATACAGGTCCAGGCTACCGTCGGCACGCCGAAATAATGATCACTTCGGCCTCAGGAGATATTTGTTGTCTGTTTGTTTGATTGTTCTATACATATACACGTATAAACACATATATATATAGACATATGTATGTCTAGTTTTTGGGTCGTTTCTTTGATCTGGCTGGTTCGGGGGACCTTATCCTGGCTGAGGCTCGCGGTGGCCCGTCGAGCCCCGTCCGCTCCCTCCCTCGGCGTTCCTCGTGGCAGCACGCTGGCTGCAGACGGGCAGGTCCAGCGGAGCTGGTTGCGGCGGGAGGCTCCGTTCCGGGGGATCAGGCGTGCCACGCCACGGGTAGCCTTCGAGCAGATCGGGCCGAGCAGGGCAGGCACGAGAAGCACGCCAGGCACGCCAACACATCCTTAAGCAGAATCACAGCAGAGGGCTGCGAAGGGGCCAGGCATTATGCGCCAGACGGGCTGAGCTGAGCAACCATGTCGCACACCGTTGAAGTCAGCCGCTCACGGTGCACTGACCCAAACGAGGCTAGGGGGTTGCACGAGTAGGGTCAAGTGGAGAGTGAGCGAGGAGGAGTGGAAGGTGTAGTAGGATGTGGGGAAGGAGAAGGCGGACCAGCGTACGCCCAGGATGCATCAACGATGCTGCAGTACACTCCCCCATCCCAAGCCCTTTCTCACCAGTCACTACGAGTATTCACTGTCACTACTCTAAGCGCACTCTTGAAGGATGGGCGCCCTCAGGGCCTGCAATGCAGGGGTTAGCCCCAGATGACATGGAATTGTCCTGCATTCTTCTAACTTTCAGGCATGCGAGGAGCTAGGATCCGAACATTCGACGGAGTGGTAACGGCTGCATGCGTTTACGACGGACGTGCGTGGCGCTACAGCGAGAGGCATAATTTCAAATCTGGCTGCCCCCATCTTTGAATAGTTGCTAGAAACTTTTAAGACGACAGTGCGCGGCGCTCGTGCTAGAGCCACAGTGTGAACATGTGACACCCTTCATCCCTGCGCGTCTGGTACTGCGACGAGGGGGAGTAATCTATGATGAAGAGGGGTGGAAGAGGACTCGGAGGATGCTATGGGGACTATGGAACACGGGATTGCGATGATGACGAGGACGATACCGAAGAACACATTTGATGGCTGATGCTGGTACAGCTGATGTTGATGATCTTGATGTTGATTTTTGACGTCGAGGCTAGTGTTGATGTTGGTGCTGAAGTTGACATTCAAGTTGACGGTGTTGTGAATACTACTGTGCATGATATTGATGGTGATGCTGATCGTGATGGTGATTATGATGATGATTGTGATGTTGGTTATCACGATGATCGGACTGATGATGCTGCTGCTGATCATGGTGATACCATTGTTGATTGAGATGATGACGATGCTACTGGTGTTCATGGTGACTCCGATGATGGCGATATTGATGATTCTGCTGATGCTGATGATGACGATGCTGATGCTGCTGATGATGATGATGAGGAGGATGACGACGACACTACCGATGACGATGATGCTGCTGCTGATGCTGGTTATGACGATGCTGGTGATAGATGCTGATGGTGCTGATGATGCTGATGCTGATGCTGATGCTGATGCGGATGATGATGAAGATGATGCTGATGATGATGATGATGCTGCTGATGCTGCTGATGTTGATGCTGCTGCTGATACTGAGCATGGTGATGCTGACGATTAGGCTGCCGATGATGATGACGATGACGATGACGATGATGATGCTGATGGCGATGATGACACCGACGATGTTGATGATGCTGATGATGATGATGATGATGATGCTGATGATGATGATGAGGATGATGATGATAATGCTGATGCTGATGACGAGGCTGACGATGACGCCGATGACGGTGATGACGCTGATGATGCTGCTGCTGCTGATGATGATGATGCTGATGTTGACGACGACGATGGTGAAGATGATGCTGCTGATGCTGATGATACTGATAACGCTGATCATGCTGATGCTGATGCTGATTCTGATGCTGATGCTGATGCTAATGTTGATGATGCTGATGCTGATGATGCTGCTGGTGCTGATGCGTCTGATGATGCTGACAATGATGATGATGCTGATGATGATGATGATGATGATGATACTGATGATGATGATGATGACGATCACGATGCTGATGGTGATGCTGATGATGGCGATGCTGATGATGCCGCTGCTGATGACGATGCCGATGATGCTGCTGCCGATGCTGGTTATGATGATGATGCTGTTGATGACGATGATGATGATGATGATGATGATGATGATGATGATGATGATGATGGTGGTGCTGATGACGATGAGGATGACGACGATTATGATGGTGATGCTGCTGATGATGATGGTGATGCTGATGCTGATGCTGACGATGATGCTGATGCTGATGATGATGATGCTGATGATGATGATGATGACGACGGTGATGATGATGATGATGATGATGATGATGATGATGATGATGATGATTATGATGATGATGATGATGATGACGATGATGATGTTGATGATGATGATGATGATGATGATGATGATGATGATGATGATGAGGTCGCGTGGAGTCGTGATGACGATTACGGTGGTGACGCTGGTGATGCTGACGATGACCTGACGATGGGAAGGGGATAGGGGTGAAGAGGATGAGCAGGAGGATGGAGCAGGATGGAGATGGAGGAGGGGATGATGAGAAGCATCGGAGAGGCAGGAGGTGGACGAGGTGAGAGGATGCGCCCCCTGCTGGCAATCACACCCCGAGCCCGCCCGCACGTTGGGCGGGCATCCGTCGGCAGGGCCACCAGGGCTGGCTGAAGATGCGCGACGGGCAGTACGGAGAGAAGGGCATGAAGGCCGCCCAGGAGGAGAGGAGTACCCGCGCGGATCGTGAAGACGATGATGACGATTCTGGCAGCGATGATGATGAGGATGATGAGGATGATGATGATGATGATGATGATGCCGATGACGATGACGATGCTGATGATGGTGATGGTGATGGTGATGGTGAAGGCGATGGCGATGGTGATGCTGACGGCGATGAGACTGACGATGTTGAGGATGTGAAGGATGATGAGGATGGTGTTGATGACGAGAACAATGGCGATAATGACAATACTGATGACGACGATGATGTTGCCATTGAAGACGATGACGGTGAGACGGTGACGATGACAATGATTATGAAGATGTTGGTGATAGTGACGATGTTGATGATGATGCTGATTTTGATAATGCTGCTGATGTTGTTGATGATGATGGTGATGATGATGAATATTGTGATAGTGATGCTGCTGATGATGATGATGGTGATGATGATGATGATGATTGTAATGCCGATGCTGCTGCTGATGGTGATGACGATGATGATGATGATGATGATGATGATGATGCTGATGATCATGATGATGTTGACGATGACGACGACGATGACGACTTCGATGTGTTCATGATGATGGTGATTCTAATGCTGATGATGCTGATGATGATGATGATGATGATGATGATGATGATGATGATGGTGATGGGTGACGACGACGACGACGTCCGACGATGACGATGATGACGACGACGGCGGCGACGACGACGATGATGTGGAGGAGGAGGAGGAGGAATCGGGACTGAGTTCGAATAGCCGACAACTGCAAGGACTCTTTCGATGGTCCGCGTGGACTTTCTGGTTCGTCCTTCGGTGCCCCTGGCGGCGCCTACGGCGCCGCCCCAAGCGCGCCAGGGAAGAGGGGTCCAGCTCTATGACTTTCGCGTGGATCTTCGAGATTTAATGTTTACGATGTTTGTTGTTCCTGTTTTGAGTGCTAGGAGGGCTTCCAGTACGTCGGCCCTTGTCGCTTCCCTTTCTCCCTCTTTCCCTCTCATTACTCTCCTCGTCTACCTGCTCATCCACCTCTTCCTCTTCATCCCCTCGTCCCCTCTATCCTCTAGACAGGTCTGCTACACGTGTAAGTCGGTTTATTCAAATCGTTTCGCCCATTTCGCTGGCCCAGACTATTCCATCGTGGGCGTTTGTCCGCGCGTCCGGATGGTGGTAGGTTCTTCGAATTGTTGCGGGAGCAGTCATGCGCGTCTCGGGGCAGAGGGCTCGAAATGGCTGTTGGTGTCCCCTCTCTTGGTCCTCTCTTCGACCCCCCTTGAGGCCCTCTTGGGCCGTCTTGGGATCCGTTCGGATCTCATCGTATCATCGTTGGCGCTGGCCTGCGTGCTCGCGTGGGCATTTTTCGAGCCTCGTGGGGCCTCGCGGGGGCATCTTGGGGGCCTCTTGGGGGCTTCTGGGGGTCTCTTGCGAGCCTTCTGGAAGTCTCGGAGGCAATCTGAGGCGGAAGGGCTCGAAGTCTCAGTTCAGGTTCTCCCTCTTGGGCTCCTTCTGCGGGTCTCTGGCGCCCTTTTGGGGCCCTCTAAGACTGTCTTGGGGCTCCTCTGGGACGTCTTGGGGCTGTCTGGGCGGCCAGAAGCCCGAAAAGGCGGTGCGCTAAAGCCTTTCAACAAGCAAGGTAATATTAATGATTTGTGCCTCTTGGGACCCTCTTGTGGTCCTCGTGGAGCTCTCTGGGCCGTCTTCGGCGCCTCTGGGACCGTCTTGACAATGTGTGTGGCAATCTTGGCGCGCTCTTGGCCTGAAGCCGTGGGGCTGCCCCCTACTTGGCGCCTCCTGGGGGCGCTCCTGGGGCACTCTGGGAGCACTGACGGCCGCGCCTAGGACTTCTGGCATTCCTCACTCCGACACGGCCGGGATTTTGGGCAGGTTTTTTTTTTTTGTCTGGGGGCCCCAAGGGGCCGCCCCGCGCGCGAACTAGAAATATCGTGACCTCTTACCGGGGATTTTAGCACGCCTCTGGTAGGGCGTGGCAGTTCCCAGAATTCCGTTTGGAAAACCCCCCTTTACCTCCCTCAAGGTTTTTTTTTTTTTTTTTTTTTTTGTTTTGTTTTTGTTTTTTGGGGTGTTTCGGGGTTCCCTACCCCCCCCACTGAGTGGGGGTTCCGGAAAGGAGAATTCTGAACCCCTCTAACCCTGCAAACACCTTCCCTTGAGTGGGTTTCTGGGGTGCAAAACCTCCACCCGCGTACTCCCCCCACACCCTCCCCGAGGGAGGGGGGTCCGGGGGGGAAGCCTTTCCCCCCCGGGGTTCGGGGGGAAGCTTTCAGTCCCTTTTACCCCTCCCCCAACATCAGAAGGGGTCTTTGGGGGGGAACCCCCTACCCCTCCGAACCTCCACGAAAATTCACCGTGAGGCTCTTGAGGGCGGGTCCAAGGGGGAAAATCTCCCCCCCTCGATCCCCCCCACCCCCCGCTGAGGGGGAGTTCCTGGGGGGACCGCCCCTCCACCCCAACCCCTCCAACAACATCCCCTGATGTGATGGGGGGTTCTGGGGGTAAAACCTCCCGCCCCCCTCCCCAACCCCACAAACGTTCCCTGAGAGGGGGTTCCGTGGGGGAGAACTTCCGACCCCCCGTAACTCCCCCAAAACACATTCCCTCAGAGGGGGGGTTCGGGGGCGAACACCTCCGTAAACCCTTCTTGACCCTTCCAAGAACCGCTTTTGCAGGGGGGGTCCAAATCCCCACTCCCTCCTGAACCCCTTCCAAAAACCTCTGAGGGGGGGGGTCCGTTGTGGGAAACCAGACAACCCCTTTACCTCCCAAAAAACTCGCCCTGAGGCGGGGAACTGGAGGAAAAAAAAACCAACCCTTCTGTGAGGGGGTGGTGGGGGGATTTTCCAGGAGGGGTTCTGGGGGCAAAACCCTCTCGGAGGGGGGGTTCAGAGGGTTTTCAAGCGCAGTTGTAGGTCTTTTTTGTCTTATTTTGTTCCTTGGCGCCCCAGCGACGCTACTCCCGATCGGCTCGAAGGCCGTGCCAATCTAGAACTCGGGGGGAAAATTTTGGCCTGTGCCTCCGGCACCCGGGCATCTGTGCGATCGTCATACATAGATTGCTGCTCGGGCAGGCAGCAGGGGGAGCAGGGGGAGGAGGGGGGAAGGAGGGAGCAGAAGAGAAGCAAAATTCTCAGATCTCGTTCACGGGGACCCCCTCCAAAACCACCCCGAACCTGCCATTCCCCCCCCATGGGTCCCGGCGAGGGTCAGAAGGGGAAAAACACACAGAGACACAATTCATCGTCGACTCCCAGGAGAATATGGGAACATAGGGGAAGTGGAGGGAGGACGAGAATCCAGAAACTATGGGAAAATATGGGGAATCCTGGGATTTTGTGTGTATTTGCTTCGGCCCCTTGAGGGGGGGGTGTTTGCCAGGGGGGGGCTCGGGCAGCTGCCGCACCGGCCTCCACGCCTCTGGCCCTGTGGGGCTGGCGCAAATTGGCTCTCCACGGACTTGCACGGGCCACACGATGGAGCGAGGCAGAGCCGCACCCTGAAGACCAGGGCTCCCACGAGGGCGCGAAGCTATTCGCGCTTCGTGCTTCGCGGTCCTCGTTCCTTCTGCTCCTCCTCCTCCTCCTCCTCCTCCTCCTCCTCCTCCTCGTCCTTCTCCTCCTCCTCCTCGTCCTCCTTTTCAAATTTTCTCCCTTTGGGGGGGCGGGGCGAGAGCGCGAAGTAATTCGCGCTTCGAGCAGCGCGAAGCGCGAAGTTGGGAGCCCAAATAAAGAGTAGAGGTCCATCATCACTTCATGCTTTTTGCACCATAGCGGGGGATCGACCGAACCGAGCAGACTTTGTTGTCCGAAGGCCTGGCAGGGTCTGGCAGGATCAGGGGGGAGGGGGGGCGGCAAGGGAAGAAGATGACCTTGGAGGATACCGGAGGAGCGAGGAGAGGAGAGGAGAGGTCACGGCGAGGAAGGGAGTGGGCTTCGTGGAGGGAGATGGGTGCATGGGGAGGGAATGGGGGGGTCCAGGGCGGCATGGGAGACAAAAGGGGGCCGTGCAGAAGGAGATCGGGGGGAGATCTGCAGGGGACCGACGGGGGCCGGGAAGGGAGCGCGAGAGGAAGGCAAGCTGGGTGCACTTGTGCCGTATCTGACATCCTACCCCTCCCACCCCTCCCTTCCCGTTGCGCTGGGCTTTTCCTCGACCCGCCGACGCGACGGGTGTCATAGCAGACCCTGACCCCCCAAAAGGACACCAAGCGACGGGGGCGAGAGCGAGAGCGAGAGCGAGAGCGAGCGAGCGAGCGCGAGAGAGAGAGGCAGAGAGAGCGAGGGCGCAGAGGGGAGGCCCTTCCGATGCGCGGCGGCCAACTGCGTCGGAGGAGCCGCCGCCGTCGGCAAGGAACGACCGAGGGCCGAGGATACGGGAGGTCGGGCATCGAGGACCGGGTCAGGCGATCGCAAACATGGATCAAAGGGGCGTGGAGTAGCGACGGGTCCCGTTCTCATGGGAAATCGCAGATTTCTGCCGCCGAGCGAGGCGGCACCTGCCGCATTTTGGGGAGGGCACCTCCCCCGATTCATGGATTTGGTGACCGCGCGCGAAATCCATGCATCGCTAATCCGTGTCTGCGCGCCCCCGAACCGAGGGCCGATGATCGAGGAGGGCGAGAATGTCGAGGACTGCGCCGAAGAGAGCCGAGCCTGTGCGCGGCGCGAGCAGAGACACCGCGGGCGCACGGGGGGGGCGGCGGGGCGGGGAGGTCAAGATCAGCGGGCTCGCCAAAACAAGGACGCAGCGCCTGCGCCCTCTGCTTTCCGCTGTCCTGCTCCGTCCTCCGTTCTCCATCCTCCGTCCTCCTCCTCCTCCTCCTCCTCCTCCTCTTCCGTAGCCATTTTGGCTCAAGCCATTTTGGCTCAAGCCATTTTGGATCAAGGCCATTTCGGGAACTCACCCCCCGTCTCAAGTGGCCTGTGCCCGCCGCGCGCGAGTGAGGCCCTGGAGAGTGCCCCATTGGACAGGGGTCCTCCGCATTCCTTTTTTCTCGACCACACACGCATTTTGCGTACTGTACCTTGCCCTGCAGTCCTGTGTTCATCGGCCGCACTGGGTCGCCGCCGTGCCCAACGTGAATCGTCTGGCAGCCCGAGGCACCTGCCAGTCGGAACCAGGCACTCCCGCCGAGGCGGGTCCAGATCTACATCGAGCGAGCGTCGGAGCCGAAGTTCCGAGCCATTATCGCAGTCAGCCATGCTAAAAAAGATGGAGTCCATGATGGAGGCTTTCTCAACCGCCATAGTCGGGGAGTTCCAGGCTGGACAACATAAATTGTGGGACAAGCTTGGTCATCATGAGGAGTCCATTATTAACTTGTCCTCGCGCCTTGACTACACGGCAGAAAGTATTCAGCACCAGCTCACCGAGCAGCAAAAGCAGATCGACCACCTGAAGCAAGGTGCATCCTCGTCGGCCGCTTCGACCGCTCCAAGTCACGCTGGGAGTGAACATCCTCCTGGCTCTAGAAGTGGACCGATCGGCGCGCCCCCAGATCGCCCCAGCAACCCCAAGAAGAAGTACATCGGCACATGGCCTCGTCCTGTATTGGCGAAGGTACGTGAGCTTCACTATGACCAGCTGAGGCAGAGATTTCCAGTTCTCCTGCGCGATGCCGAAGCGACATTCAAAGGTGTCTCTCAGAGCTATGAGATCCAGTTCCCGTCGGAGGCCACAGCGACGCAGTTCATGCACGCAGCCAACGAGAGTAAGATGGCCTGGCGTGACCCAAAGAATGGAGGCGTCACGCCGCTTCGGTGTCGTGGTGACCTCCCTCTTCCCGTTCGTCTTCGGCAGCAGAACTTCTCGAATATATACCAGCCCCTGAAAGACCTGCTGGTCCGCTCGCCTCTGTGGGGCGTCAAGACCAAGCTCGCCGTCAACGGCTTCAAGGGCCAGATGATGGTGCTGGATGAGACTGAAGTATGGCCTCTCGTATCGTGCTCCCACAGTGGCATGGGCGTTGAGCAGTTCCTCCCGCGCTATGATGAGCTGAAGGAGTGGGGCATTGAGGCGTCTCAGGTCGACTCCATCGTCGATGACGCCACCAACCAGCTCGGCGCCACCCGGCGCTAGGGCGCTCCCCAGCGAGTTTCTCGAGATGCTGTGAGCCCCTCTGTGCTGCAGCCTGTGATTGGGGTCCAGGCCGCCTTCCCCTCAATTGTCTCTGCGCCCTTTGCGCCTTCGCCAGGCAGCTCAGCAGCTGCCCTCTGCCTCCCCTCCTGTGCCTCGGCTCTTAGCATTGTCTCTTGGAATGCCCAATCATTGTTCATGTCTCAATGGAGTGATCACCGTAGCAGTCAGAAGAAGTACAGTCAGTTGTCTAGTCTCCTCTCTGTCCACTCCATCGTGTGCATTCAGGAGTCCCACGGCGCGCAGGCGGACCTCGACGGGCTCCAAAGGGATTTCAAAGGAATCTGTGGTGTGGGTTCGTTCTGCCCCAACTCTGGCTCTGGAGGTGTCCTGATTATGGTCCAGGGGCGGTTTGCTGAAAGGTTCCAGGTCCCCCACGCCCATGAGATTGTGCCTGGCAGGATCCTAGTTCTCACTCTGGCTTCGAGGACCGAGTGCATCCATATTGCGTGCGTGCACGCCGACCCCGACGAGCCTGAGCAAGTGATCAGGGCACAGTTCTACCAGCTGCGTGCTGCACTTCTTCCTTCTCCCAGGTCCTCAGCTTTTATCGCTGGCGATTTCAAATTTCACTGTCAAGGTGAAGCACGCTATTATGCTATCTCTGGTCGTGAATCCTTTCCCCCGCGTCGACTCGCTGATCTATTCGATCTGGTTTTTCCCCAATACTCTGAGGTGTATCAGCCCCACTACACCCGCCGCATTAACGACCCCAATGACCCCAGCTACGCCCGCCTCGACAGAATATATTCCAGCCTCCCTCCTGCAGTGCTGCTTGATCTTAGGTGCATCACTTCCACGTGCTGGCGGATTACAGATCGGTCCAAGTCGTCTGATCATGCTGCAGTCTTTTTATCCCTCTCTATGAAGTCGGACGTGAAGTCCGAAGAAGCGCCCATCCCGCCGTGGGTCATCAAGCACGCGTCCTTTGCTCGGCAGGTGCAGCAGATGTGCGAATATAACGAGTTCGACCCCGACCCCTTCCAGCGTCTCCTGGGACTGAAGAGTATTTTTCATTTCGTTGCCCAGCAAGTTAAACACGGGGTTGTCGATATCGGACCCGACTGTGATGACGCGAAGATAACTTTGCGCTTCCGTCTCCTTCGCGCTGCACGAGCAGAGCGTCGGCAATTTTGCCGTCAACTTCTGCGTGCTTATCCGGTGCTCGGCCGTTTTTTTGATGTTGATCTTATGTGCTGGAGCGACTGGGCTGCGTTCCATGGTCATGTTGCTCAGCTTCAACGCTCTGTCCTCCAGCAGCAAGGGAGTGCTATCCATAATGACTCCCAGTTGTCCGAACGCCAGAAGCTCAGCCACCATGCCAGGGTCCGCCGCCTGGCTGCGGCTTGGGCGCCGAAACGACCCAGGCTTTATCTCGCTGGCCTTCGGTCTCCCCAGGGGCACGCCACCGCTGATGCCGCCCAAATGGCTAGCATTCTCTCGCAATACTGGGGCAAGGTTTTTGCAGCTGCTGAGTCGCCAGTCCCAGATGATGATTGTCAGTATCTTCAGGAAGTCGATCCCCTGGGCCCTCAAGGTGATCAGTTTGTTACGCGTTCTCATCAGTTTGTTGACTGGGTTGCTGATCGGGCCTCGGTCGCCCATCTGCTCTCGAGGAAAAAAGACACGACCCCTGGTCCAGATGGAGTACCATACGGTGCCTGGCGAGTAGCTGGAGATATTGCGATTGATACGTTGCATGAGGCGTTCCTGCGGCTGATGAGTGATGGCCCGCAGGTCCCGCCAAAATTGAATTACTGCCGTGCCGCGTTCCTGCCCAAGGGTGCCATCGAGAATGGCGGAACAGAGACGCGGGACGCTGCCCATACTCGTATGATCTCTCTCTCGAACTCTGATAACAAGCTCCTCTCCTCCCTGGTGGCCAGGCCGCTCAACTTCGTGGCTGCTGACATCGTTGACCCCTCTCAGAAGGGGCTTTGTCGCTGGCAGATCCATGATAGACAACATCCTGGAGTTCGACGGGTCCCTCTGGGCTTGGGCCCATACGATGGCCTGCAATGATTCTGGTGGGTGCCTCTTCGACTTTTCAAATGCTTTCCCCAGTGTGCACTACTCTTGGATCTTCCAGGTTCTTAGGCGCTATAGGTTCCCTCAGATCGTCGTTAATGCCATTGCCGCCTTGTGCGCCAACGTCTGGACTACTATTTCTTTACGTAGAGGTGGCACTGCAGCGAAGATTTTGGTTTCTGGGCTACGCGAGGAATGAAACAAGGATGCCCGCTTTCTGGAGTTCTGTTTGCCATCATCCTTAACCCCATCCACAAGTACATCCTAAGGCGTCAAATGGCTATTCCCATGTGCATGCCTGGCTTTGCTGACGACCTTGCGCTCGTCACCGTCGACCTCTTTCGGGTCTTGCCAGATGTGTGTGCCGAGCTGCTGGAGGCAGGGCGCTACTCGGGCCTCGTACTTAACTTTGCAAAGTGCCACATCATCTTCCCACGGGAATACGACTGGGAAGCTTTGAAGGCTCGTTTTGCGCAGTACGGTCTTGATATCTCTCGTTTCCAGCACGGAACCGCAGGGAAGCATCTTGGGATTTACGTTGGCCTTCGGGGGCCCCTGCTTTCCTGGGCCGCGCCGATGGCAAAACTTACCGAGCGTGCCCATCAAGTTCGTGCTGTGGGGTTATCTTTTGTGGCTTCTATACCTGCTTACAATCAGTTTGCCGTCCCCGTCTTAGGACATGTCGCGCAATGCTATAACCCCCCTTGTACCATCATTAAAGTCGAACGTGAATGCCTACAACTGCTTCCCCGAGCCCCTCGCCATGCCTTTCCTCCGTGTGCAATGTTGAATCTGAAGAGCATTGGCTTCGAGGTGGAGCCGAGACCAGTCTCCCTTACTTGTCAGTCTGCGCTGATCAGAGCTAGCATTCGATCAGAGCTGCTTCAGGATATGGTTGAATGGATCCGCAATGCCAGCCAGTCGGTCGAAGCCGCACTTTATGCTCTGTCTCGCCCCTTTCGTCCTGATTCTGTCGTTTACCATGTGTCACGTGCCCTATCTAGATATCTCGAGTTCCCCAATGCTGTTCAGGATGCCCCGCCGAGAAAGCTCCAGATGAAGATTTACCGAGTGCTGCGTTCCCATGCCCCTGATCCCCCTCCTGCTAGTCTCGTTCGTGCACGAGTGAAGTATTGGACAAAAGAAGTACCGCGTCGAGATCAGATGGACCGACTCGTTCTCCTACTGAACCTGATTGGCCTTCGCCCCCCTCCTTCTGCCTGACTGCTACGGTGAAAACGATTTTTAATGCATGGCCCACTACAAAACGTTTTAGGTTTGGTGCTGGCGGGTGCGTTTGGGGATGCTGTAATTTAGGAGGTGACTCAATTCTGCACTGTGCCTCCTGCCCCATTTCTGTTCCTGTCGTTCGTGCCCTCTTGAATTCTCTGCCCACATCCTGGGGTTCTGATTCACTAGCTGTCATTTTACCTCACATGTGGGTAACGGCCAATAGTGATTCGATTCTCGCCCATAGTGTTGCTCTTGATTTACTTTTCTCAGCTTATAACGCATCCCGAGCCAGAGGCACCCAATCCATTAAATGCGCCCAGGATGCCATCCGTGCCAGGGCCCGTGTAGTTGCGCGGCGGCCCCCTCGGATTCGGCAGCTTCTCATCACTTAGTCGCTCGCCATCCCCCATCTTCTGTCGCCCTCGCCGTCGTTTCGCCCGCCGCCCGCATTTGACCTTCGTGACGCCCTGCCCGACGCCCTACGCCACAGGCGCGCTGGGACGGGGGGGCGGGACTCCACTCTCTCTGGGTCTGGCGCTCCTCCTCCTCCTCCTCCGACCTCCTCCTCCTTCTCCGACCTCCTCCTCCTCCTGCCCGCCCGCCCGGGCGCCCGCCCGCCCTCTTCCCCGCCCCCTCCCTCCTCCCGCCGCGGGCCCGAGCCGTAGCCGCAGCCGTGTTGCCCCCCATCGCGCACGCTCGCGGCTCGGACCCGGCGTGCTCCTCGCGAGGGCGAGGAACCGCGCCGCCATGTACTGGGCGCGAGGCGGCGGCGCTCTGCCGGTGCCGCCGCTGGCGCCGCATTGGCTTGCTCCGCCTGTGTGGCCGGCGCCGCCGCCGCCCCAGGTTGGTGGATGGGGGCTCCGCCTCTTCTGCCCCGCCACGGCGTCCGCCGCCGCCCGCGCCGCTTGCAGCCGAGCGCCCAGCTGGAGATGCAGGTCAGCAGGTTCTTCCTCTTCCTCTCGCGTGCCGCCGCCTCTGCCGCAGGATGTGCGCAGTTTTCTTGTGCCCAGAGACGGACCTGCGGTTTCCGTCGCCGGCGAGGTTGCTGCCGTCGGGATCACTTGGGGGAGGCGAGTGGCCGCCGGCCGGAGCTGACGCGTCGCCAGTTCCGTCGCACCTCGTCGCTGCTGAGGGACCACCAGTGGGACTTCGTCTGAGCCGTTGGAGGCGATCGACCTGGGACTCTGGCGAGGCCTCTGATGCCCGCGAGAAGCATAGCGTTGCTGAAGGAGACGTCCCCCTGCCTCAATGGCGCGCCCCTGTTCGACTCAGTCCGCGAATGCTCTTGATGTTCTTCCGGCTGACAGTTCCAACAGAAGGTAGAACGGACGATGAGCTTCGCCAGAGCCTTTGTGCTCGGCCTCCCTCTGTGCCCGCCTCCATGGGCCGCCCCCAGTCGCGCCCCCCTGGAGGCTTGTGAGCGCTGTTCGAGCCCTCGAAGCCGGCACGGCCAATTCGGAGCAAACCAGCTCGACGCAGAGCAATTGCAGCTAGACTGGACATGCAGACAGAGCTGTTCGATAGCTTTGCTGATGCGCAGCCCAGACGTTCTGTCATGGACCGCGTCGAGCGTGCTGTTGCATCCTCATTGCTGTCAGACGAACACGCTGCAAACGTGAAGACTTAACATGAATTGCGTGACGGAGGCATTAATACATATATCCAGGCAGTATTGGCTGGACTTTTATACGTGAGTGCCGTCCAGTATGGCGCTCTTCCAGAGCATGAGGTGCCCTCACTGCCTGTGCGCGATGCGTCTCGGGCCCCTGCTCGCCGACCGTCGCGGAATGAAGGGGGGTGTTTTGGCATTCCGCAGCCTCCGACTTGCAACTCGTGCAAAAAAGGTTTTGGCCTGTCCTGCGAGCTAGCAGCGGGTCCTTGTTTTGCTTCAGAAGCGTGGCCAAGGGCCACCAGCGTGCCATTTTGATGCGTCGCGCGCGATCGACGCTGGCGCACTCGCACTGCCGGGATGTGCAAGGCAGGCGAAGGGTGTAGTTGTCGTGCCCGTTGCATCGGGGAATCTCCCCCCGAAGAGAAGGATGCCATACTTTCTCGGTTCGATCGCATAACGCAGACATTTCCCGACATTTTTCCTAGAGCCCGGCAGCAAAGGGCATTGATTCCATTGGTGCCTTCTCGCGCCTATCTTCGCCTCGTTGACTCTCTGTAATTGCGTTGTTGGTGCAGTTTTTCCTTGCGTGCCGTAGGTTTGTCCAGGTCTCTCTTCTTGTCGGGTGTCCTCTGGCGTCCTATCCGCGCTTACTGCTGTCACTATCGGACTCTGTCGATTGCAGCTTTCAGTCCGTCGGGCGAGGAGCCATTCAGTCAGCAAGAGCATTCGGCGCGACCGCCTCTTCTGCGCGACTGGATGCAGCAGCTTTCTTGCACGCTGCAGGTGTGTCCAGGTCTCCGCATGCTAGCTGTCTTCGTGGCGTCCTGCCCGTGCTTCTTGTTTTGCCTTTTTCGCATTCTGTTGGTTGCGGCCTTCAATCCATGACCACAGCGGGGATCGCAACAATAAACGGGACCACAACCGTCGGGGACACGTTCTTGACGTGATTTTGGACTTGCATGTGTTGCGGTGCATGACTATTGTTTTGCAGGGAGGGACCGCTCCCCAACAACGGTCGCCGGGGTACTTCCTCGAGGCGCTGTTCGACAAGCGCTATTGGCTCTACCCCCAAGAGCCCTTCAAGCACGTAGTGCCATCGCGAGCATTCGGCGCGTTTGCCTCGTTGCGCTGTTTGCTTTGGTGCATGTGCTCGTTCATTCGGTGTCTTGGACACACCTGCTACCCAAACCTGCTTTTCAGTCAGGCCTGTCCCGCCTGCTCCCCCTCTTGGGTCTCGGCCTTCGCCCTCGAATCGGCCCTGGGCTTGTGACCCTGCTACCTGTGATCAGCCGGTCTTCACTGTGGCGAAGTTCTCTTTTGGGGCTCGATCCCACTTCCAGTGGGTCAGTGCTGACTGTCCAGTCTTGCATTGCAGCATTGGATTTCTGGGACGCCTTTTACATGGGCATCCCGCACGCATGTATTTTGTGGTTTCACCATGCTGCCTCAGGCCTCTTTGTTTCTGTGGCTCAGCGGCCCTTTCTCCCTTCCCTGGTCCCTTCCTCCCGGTTGGGTTGGCGCACGCCCACTGGGCTTTCGAATTTCCATGCCCTTCTCTCACTGGGTGTGGTCTCGCGCCTTGGTCAGGAGCTCTTGCCCGCAGGTTTTTTTCTTGTGTTTCGTTACGCATTGTGCGTTTCGTGTTGTGCAGTGCGACGGCTGACAATGAGCCCCGCATGGATCAAGGATCAAGAATCTCCCCGCCTTCCTCTCTCATCCCGCCCCCTCTGCTTTTCGTTTCCACGTCTTGAAGGGTCAGCCAGACCGGGATTACTTTTTTTGGTTGGGTCCAGCTGAAAAAGGTTGGGAAGGGTGGGGTGGGTGGGAGGGGGAGGGGGCGGAGGGGAAAGTATGAGGTGGTGGAGGACTGGGGCGAGCAGTAGCAGTAGCACTAGAAGGAGCATTAGCAGTATCAGTAGTAGTAGCAGTAGCACAAGGAAGGAGGAGGACGAGGATGATAATGAGGATGGGGATGAGAATGAGGATGAGGATGGAGAGGAGGAGGAGGAGGAGGAGGAGGAGGAGGAGAAGGAAGAGGAGGAGGAGGAGGAGGAGAGGAGGAGGAGGAGGAGGAGGAGGAGGAGGAGGAGGAGGAGGGAGGAGGAGGAGGGAGGAGGAGGAGGAGGAGGAGGAGGGAGAGAGGAGGAGGAGGAGGAGGAGGAGGAGGAGGAGGAGGAGGAGGAGGAGGAGGAGGAGGAGGAGGAGGAGGAGGAGGAGGGAGGAGGAGGAGGAGGAGGAGGAGAGGAGGAGGAGGAGGAGGAGGAGAGGAGGAGGAGGAGGAGGAGGAGGAGGAGGAGGAGGAGGAGGAGGGGAGAGGACAGGGGGGAGGAATTGTGACAGCAGGAAGGGTGGGGGAAGTGGAGAAAGATGAGAAGGGGGAGGAGCGAGACAAGGCCGTGAAAGGAGACGTGGTTCAGATTATCTCTTTCCACCCTCGTATCTCTCTCCTCCCTCGGCTCTTATCCTTTCCCTTTCTCCTCGGCTCTCTCTTCTCCTTTCGTGCCCGTTCTGCGTGGAAAGGGGGCTCAATGGCCTCGTCGGCATCGTGCAGGGCTTCGACACGAAGGGCGAGCGCTACCTTGTGAGGGTGAGCTGCTCGGCCGTGCCCCCACGATCCGTGATCGCGGCCTCGTCAGACGTTCGGAAGGGGAAAAACCCGACCTTCTCCTGCCACGCCCGCTCCCCCCTCCGCCCAGTGCCCGCTTCGGTCCGATAGTTTCGACACGATCTCAATTTTCGCAGGCCCGAGCCGATTCGTTTTCGATATTCCGATGATGCGATGCGGCCCGCTGTTCGCGCTGCACAGCGGAGCCGATCCGACCGACTCTGCGCCGGTGCAGCCAAATCAAATGCACAGTTCGATTCGACACGATATCCCGATTCGCTGTTGAACGATCCTGCTCCCTCTCCTACCCCCGCTTCTCCTAGTGATCGGGGCCTCACTGGCCGATCGAGGCGGACAGAGTGCCTACCTCTCCCATCAGGACGTCCAATGCGAATCCACCCGTTAAAGCCATCTGTCGCTTCGTTTCCACGATGGGAGGGGTGAAGAGGGGAGGAGGGGAAGGAGGCTTAATCATGAGAAGGGAAGCAGGAAGGGAAGAGGGAGCGGAAGAGGAGGGAAGCCGGAGGGGAATGATGATGCTGCTGCTGATTGTGATGATGACGACGGCGACGATGATGATAATGGTAATGAGGACGTCGACGACATTGATGATTCTGATGCTGATTATGATGATGATAATGATGAGGATGAGGATGAAGATGATGATGAGGATGAAGATGCTGCTGATGATGATGATGATGATGATGATGATGATGATGATGCTTGTGATCATGATGCTGATGATGCTGATGATGGTAATGGTGATGGTGATGTTGATGGCGACGATGATGCTGATGATGATGCTGCTGCTGATGATGCTGATCACTGTGGTAATGCTGATGGTGGTTATGCTCTTTGTGGTGATGATGCTGATGATGATGATGATGCGGATGATGATTATGCTGACGATGATGATGACGATTCTGATGCTATTGACGACTATATTGATCATGATGGTGGTAACGATACTGATACTGCTGGTGCTGATGATGTTGATGAGGATGTCCCTGCTGATGATGATGATGACGATGATGATGATGATTCTGATGATGATGATGATGATGATGATGATGATGATGCTGATGATGATGATGATGATGATGATGATGATGATGATGATAATGATGATGGTGCTGATGATGCTGATTCTGATACTGCCGATGATGCTGATGATGACTGATTGGTATGCTGATGACGACGATTATGATGCTGAAGGCTGCTGGTGGCTGATGGTATGGGTCTGATGATGGTGACGATGGCGACGACGATGTCGCTGCTGCTGCTGATGAATGTGATGGTGGTGGTGATGATGCTTATGCTGATGATCATGATGATGTTGATGCTAATTATGGTGATGATGCTGACGATGATGATGATGATGATGATGATGATGATGATGATGATGATGATGATGATGATGATGATGATGATGATACTGATGGTGCTGATGACGATGTTGATGATGATGTGGATGATGATGGCGACGGTGATGATGATGATGATGATGCTGATGCTGGTGATTATGCTGCTGATGACGACGATGCTGATTACGATGATTACGATGCTGGTGATGCTGATGATGCTGATGATGCTGATGATGAGGATGACGATGATGAGGCTGATGTTGATGATGGTGATGCTGATGATGATCATGATGGTGATGCTAATGATGACGGTGTTGATGACGGTGCCGATGCCGATGACGATGACGATGTCGATGGCGACAACGACGATGTCGCCGCCGCCGATGATGACGACGTCGACGACGATGATGATGCTGCTGCTGATGATGATGCGGATAACTATGATGATGACGATGACGATTGCGAGGACGCGGACGAGGACGATGATGACGACGATGACGACGCCGACGACGATGACGACGACGCAGCCGTCGATGACGATACAATTACCGATGATGATGGTGATGATGATAATGACGAGGATTGTGGTGGTGGTGGTGATGATGATGATGCTGATTCGTGATGGTGATGGGGATTGTGATGTTGGTGACGACCACGATGATGATGCTGATGATGATGATGACTATGACGCTGCTGATGATGAAGCGGATGATGCTGATGATGATGACGATAATGATGTTGATGATGATGCAGATGATGTTGATCATGATGATGATGATGATGAGGATGATGATGATGAGGATGATGATGATGATGATGCTGATGATGATGATGATGATGATGATGCTGATGCTGCTGCTGCTGCTGATGTTGACGATGCTGATGATGCTGATGATGCTGATGATGATGATGATGCTGATGATGATGCTGATGATGTTGATCATGATGATGATGATGATGATGATGAGGATGATGATGATGATGAGGATGATGATGATGATGATGATGATGATGATGATGATGATGATGATGATGATGATGCTGATGATGATGATGATGATGATGCTGATGCTGCTGCTGATGATGATGTTGACGATGCTGATGATGCTGATGATGCTGATGATGCTGATGATGATGGTGTTGACGGTTATGCTGCTGTAATGATAACAATAGTAGTAAGCAGCAGACGGTAATGTTGAGTGGCAGGAAGAGGAGAAGGAGGAGGAGGAGGAGGAGGAGGAGGAGGAGGAGGAGGAGGAGGAGGAGGAGGAGGAGGAGGAGGAGGAGGGAGGAGGAGGGGAGGAGGAGGGGCGGAGCTGGAGGCAGAGCAGGAGGATGACGACACGGAGCATGTTGAGGAGGAGAAGGGTGGGGAGGAGGACGGGGAGGAGGAGGAGGTGAGGAGGAGGAGGATGATGATTATGCGACGCCGGAGGAGGAGCAGGAGGATGAGGAGCAGGAGGATGAGGAGGAGGACGAGGAAGTGGAGAAGGCGGAGGGAAGGGGCAGGAGGATGCATGAAGTTTCACAGGAGTTTTGCTTTTCCATGAGATTTGCCAGATACGACGGCGAGGGCTTGGGGAGGAAGTTCAGGGAGGAGGGTCAGTGACGAACGGGCGGAGGAGGAGGAGCAGGTGCATCAGCAGGAAGATGAGGAGGATCATCAAGTAGTAGTAGGTCAGGGAGGAGGACCAGGGAGGAGGATCATGGAGGAGGGGGACAGAGACGATGAGGATGAGGATGAGGAGGAGGAGGCCTCGTGGGGACAGTTTGGGGCTTTCTTGGTGGTCTTGTGGGGTACTGTGGCGCGAGGCATAGCGCTGCACTCTGAGGCGCCACCGCACTGACTCTCGGCTGGACGGGCACAGCGCGGCGAACGACAGTACAGACGGGGGTACTCTTGTTCAGGTCTTCGGGGATGATGATGATGCTGAGGATGCTGGTGATGCTGATAATGATGATGCTGATGCTGATGCTGATGGCGATGATGAGGATGATGGTGGTGATGGCGATAATGATGATGATGAGGATGATGATGATGATGATGGTGGTGATGGCGATAATGATGACGAGGATGATGCTGATGATGCGGATGATGATTATGCTGACGATGATGATGATGCTGATGATGCTGATTATCATGCTGATGATACTGCTGGTGCTGATGCTGATGATCACGACGACGATGCTGATGATGCTGCTGCTGATGATGAGGATGCTTATGATGCGGATGGTGACGTTGATGATGGGGATGACGATGCTGATGATGATCCTGACAATGATGACGATGGCGCTGACACCGTTAATGACGACGATGCTGATGCTGATGATGATGGTGATGACGATGATGATGATGATGATGATGATGATAAGTTGTGGTGGCGGTGATGGCGACGATGCTGATTATGATGATTGTGGTTATGGCGATACTGATGATGATGATGATGATGCTGATGATGATGATGATGCGGATGATGCTGATGCTGCTGATGATGATGAGACTGCTGATGATATATAATGGCACTCTATGGTGATGGTGATGATGGCGCTGATGATGCTGATGATGCTGATGCAGATGATTCCGATGGCGATGATGATGCTGATGATGAAGATGATGACGATGATGATGAAAATGTTGATGCTGATGATGATGATGCTGATGATGATGATGATGCTGATGATGATGACGATGATGATGATGATGCTGATGATGATGATGATGCTGCTGCTGCTGATGCTGATGATGATGAGCATGATGATGCTGATGCTAATGGTGCCGATGATGCTGCTGCTGCTGATGAAAAGGATGAATTTGCGGATGATGATTTTGATGATGACGATGATGATGATACGGTTGATGACGATGATGGTGTTTATGATGATTCTGCTGCTGATGATCATGCATCTGCTGATGCTGAGGATGATGATTCTGATGCTGACGATGGTGGCGGTGTCTCGATGCTGATGCTGAATCTGGTGTTGCTGAGCTGATTCTGCTGACGGTGCTGACGTTGCTGCTGATCATGATGATGATGCTGATGATGTTACTGATGCTGATGCTGTTGATGTTGTTGCTGAGGCTGCTGTTGCCTCTGCTGCTGCCGATGATGATGATGATGCTGACGATGATGATGCTGCTGATGATGATAATGATAATGTTGGTGGGTGTGATGATGATGATGATGATGATGATGATGATGATGATGATGATGATGAAGATGAAGATGATGATCACGATGGTGATGATCATGATGAGGCTGATGATGATACTGATAAGGCTGATGGTGATGATGATGCTGATGATGATGATGCTGATGATGATGATGCAGATGATGATGCAGATGATGATGATGATGATGATGATGATGATGATGATGACGATGATGAGGATCATGATGATGATGATGATGATGATGATGATGATGATGATGATGATGCTGATGATGATGATGATGATGATGATGATGATGATGGTGGTGGTGGTGGTGGTGGCTGCTGCTGATGCTGATGATGATGTCGATGGTTATGGTGGTGACGATGATGATGCTGCTGATGATGATGATGATGATGATGATGATGATGATGATGACGATGCTGACGACGGCAATGACACGGATAGTATCTGATTACGATGACGGTGATGGTTGTGATGGTGATGGTTGTGGTGGTGATGATGACCACTGTTAGGGACGAAGCGGAAGTAGTAGGGGGAGTAGGGCGGAGTATGAGGGAGGGAAGGAAGGAAGGAAGGAAGGAAGGAAGGAAGGAAGGAAGATGATGATGATGATGATGATGATGATGATGATGATGATGATGATGATGATGATGATGATGATGATGATGATGATGATGATGATGATGATGATGATGATGATGATGATGATGATGATGATGATGATGATGATGATGATGATGATGATGATGATGATGATGATGATGATGATGATGATGATGATGATGATGATGATGATGATGATGATGATGATGTGTGGGGGAACAGGGGAGTAGGAGTAGGGAGTAGGAGGAGGAGGAGGAGGAGGAGGAGGAGGAGGAGGAGGAGGAGGAGGGCTAGGGGAAGGAGGGAGGACCTGTTGCACGGGGGGAAGCAGGGTGGAGGAGGAGGAGGAAGGGTGTACTGGAGTAGTGGTAGTCGGAGGAGGAGGAGGAGGAGGAGGAGGAAGGAGGAGGAGGAGGAGGAGGAGGAGGAGGGGGAGGAGGAGGAGGAGGAGGAGGAGGAGAGGAGGAGGATGGAGGACGACGAGGAGTTGGAGGAGGGAGGGGGGAGGGGCGGAGGAGTAGTAGTAGGAGGAGGGAGGGGGAAGTAGTAGGAGGAGGGAAGGAGGGGGAGTAGTAGGAGGGAGGGGGGAGGGAGGGAGGAATAGGAGTAGGAGGAGGGAGGGAGTAGGGGGAGTAGTAGGAGGAGGGAGGGGGGAGAGAAAGAGAAAATGGAGGGCAGCTGGCCCGCCTGATCTGTTCAGCCCGATCCGCGGTGCCGCGGTGTGGAGCCCTGGGTTGTCGGATGAGCGTCGCCCAGCCGAGGTGAACGGTGCTGACAGGCGCGTCAGGCTTGCGAAGGAAGGGGAGGAGGCGAGGCGGGGGTTAGGGGAGGGGAGGTGGGGGATGAGAGGGAGGAAGAGGGGGAGGGTGCCTGTCATGCTTCTCCGCGCTGTGCTTCCATTTCGCTTGGAGTTCCATGGCTCGAGGCTGACGTTGCCTATGTGTATGCACCTCTTGATCCTTATGGCGAGAGTTCATGTAGGCCATCTCTTAGTCCCGGCTTCACCGTGCCGCCGCTCTTACCCCCAGCGTATGCATGCACATACATTTCAGACGTTTGTATGCAGGGCTGTGGGAAGAAATACGGAGGGGATACCAAGATGACGAAAGTCATGCGTCGGCTCGCTTGCAGTGGAGTTGATCTACATGCACCTGTCGCGAGAATGGGTTTGAGTGAGGAGCTGGCTAGCTGACATCCTGTGGGCGACGCGCAATATAACGATGAGCGCGGCATGCGGGATCTGGCAGCAGCCTCTGAAGACCCGCAAGACATTGTGAACTTGAACGTCCCAGTTGCCCCTTATACGATGGTGACACTGGGATGATGACGATCACGTCGGTGATGCAGACAATGATGATGACGATGACAATAATCATGATGCTGATGTTGCGGCGGATGATGCTGCTGATGATGCTGGTGATGGCGACGACGACGATGATGCTGCTGCTGATGGTGATAAGCCTCATGATGATGCTGATGATGATGATGGTAATGGTGATTATGATGATGATAACGATGACGATGATAACGATGCTGACGGTTCTGCTGATAGTGATGATGATGATGAGTATCATGATGATGTTGATGTTGAGGATGATGATGATGATGGTGGGGGTGAGCATGACGATGATCATAATGGTGAAAAAGGTGCTGATGACGATGACGATGACGACGATGCTGACGGTTCCGCAGATGATGACGATTTTGTTGGTGATGATGGTGATGATGATGCTGGTGATGATGATGGTGGTGATGATGATGATGATGATGACGATGACGATGACGATGATGATGATGACGATGATGATGATGATGATGATGATGATTTTGGTGAGGGTGAGCATGACGATGACGGCGACAATGACGATGCTGTTGATAATCATGAGGATGATGAGGATGCTGATGCTGGTGTTGCCTATGCTGACTATTATGAAGACGATGAGGATACTGATCATGGTTATGATTGGTGGTGATGATGATGATGATGATCATGATGGTGGTGGTGGTGGTGGTGATGATGATGCTGATGATGATGACGATGACAATGTCGATGATGACGATGATGATGATGCTGATACTGATGATGCTGCTGCTGGTGATGATGATACTGGTGAGGGTGAGCATGACGATAAACGGTGACAATGACGATGCTATTGATAATAATGATGATGATGAGGATACTGATGCTGGTGCTGCCTATGCTGACTATGACGGTGATGATGAGGATAAGGATCATGGTCATGATTGGTGGTGGTGATGGTTCTGATTATGATGATGATGATGATGATGATGATGATGATGATGATGATGATGGTGATGATGATGATGATGGTGGTGGTGGTGGTGCTGATGATGCTGTGATGATGACGATCAAGATGACGATGACGATCTTGATGACGATGAGGAGGAGGAGAAGCAGGAGGATGATGCTGATACTGATGATGCTGGTGCTGGTGATGATGATGATGATGATGATGATGATGATGATGACGACGATAAGGATGATATGATGATGATGATGATGATGATGATGATGATGATGATGATGATGATGATGATGATGATGGTGATGGTGATGGTGATGATGATGATGATGATGATGATGATGATGATGATGATGATGATGATGATGATGAATGATGATGATGATGATGATGATGATGTGATGATGGTGATGATGATGATGATGATGATTGATGATGATGATGATGATGATGATGATGATGATGATGATGATGATGATGATGATGATGTGGTGGTGGTGATGATGACAATTTGGTCGGTTGTGGTGGTGTTGGCCAGGAGAGGAGAGGAGAGGAGGAGGAGGAGGAGGAGGAGGAGGAGGAGGAGGATGGCGAGAGCCGTCGAGGCCTGGCAACCTGGAGCAACAGGCGACCACGGGCTTTCTGGAGCGAGGCCGGTCGTGGACTGCCCTTGCCCCGGCTGCTCCCTTCGAGAAAGGAGGGTGAGGATGAGGAGGAGGAGGAGGAGGAAGGAGGATGAGGAGGAGGAGGAGGAGGCGAATGAGGAGGAGGATGATGATGCTGCTGATGATGATGAGGAGGAGGAGGAGGAGGAGGAGGAGGAGGAGGAGGAGGAGGAGGGTGGGGATCAGGATCAGGATGAGGATGCAGATGGCGATGATGAATAGGAGGAGGAGTAGGAGGAGGAGGATGATTGGGATGAGGATGCGGATGACGATGATGAATAGGAGGAGGAGGATGAGGAGGAGGAGGAGGAGGATGAGGAGGAGGATGAGGAAGAGGAGGAAAAGAGGCAGAAGGACGAGGAGGAGCAGCCCTTGAAAGTAAGTAGCGCGTGTATGGATATATGTCTATGTATGTAGAAATGTATATATATATATATATACAAGACTGCAGTGGCGCTTCGCGCCATGCACCTTGATCCCTTGAAGTTTGATACGCAGGCGGAATATCAGGAAGGTCAAGCCGACAATTTAGCGATAACTCATGGTTGCGTTTTCCGGGAACGCCGCTATAAAAATGTCATTAGTTTTCCTTCCTCCATGCTTCGTTTTCATTATTTTCGCCATACCCTGCGCATTCTTCCCATCCTTCTCAGCATTTTTTTGCGGAGACTCCTCCTTGGAGAGCCTCTAGTGGCCTCACACAAGTTGTTTCAGGCTTTCTTAAGGCCTTCTGAAGACCTCCTGGGCGTATTCTGGAGGCCTCCGGGGGCTTCCTCGGGCCACCCTGCCTCCAACCGCGGTCTCCCTGAACGACCGAATCACGATTTGGAATTCTTCGGAGGGTGTCTTTGGGCCATCTTGGACCCGTGTTGTGCTGTTTTGGGGCTCTCTTGGACTGCCTGGAAGCCCTTTTGGATGGTTGTGGGGCGATTTGGGAGCCTCCCAGGCGGCTTCGGACGCCCAGAGGACCGCCGTCTTGGAGCGTCGGGAAGCCGAAAAGAGGAGAACCCCAAAATTCACCAAAAACCCATAGAAAGTCAATGATGTTTGCCTCGGGGGGCCTTCTTGGGAGTGCTCTTGGAGACCTCTTTGGGGCCGTCCTGGAGGCCTCTTGGGCCATCTTGAGGTCACGTCGGTCACTCTCGGAGCAATCTTGTGCTGTCTCGGAGGTCTCTGGGACGTCTCCGATGACCCCCCTGATCGCCCTAGGTGAGCTGGGAAGGCTTGGCAAAACGCCCTGCGAGGCCCGGTGGCCGCTTCGAGGCCCGTCTGGAGGGTCCCAAAGCCCCAGATCCCGGGAGTCCAGTTTTGGGGGGGGGGTGACGGGTTTTCCCCCCGCCCGGGCTTATAAAAATATAGGAAGAGGAGTGTGTGTGTGTGTGTGTGTGTGTGTGTGTGTGTCTGGCTGTGTGTGTGTATGTGTGTGTGTGGTGTGTGTGTGTGTGTGTGTGTTTGTTTGGCTATGTGTGTGTGTGGCTTTGTGTGTGTGTGTGTGTGTGTGTGTGTGTGTGTGCGCGTCCGTGTGTCCGTGTGTCCGCGTGTGTGTGTGTGTGTGTGTGTTTGTGTGTATGTGTGTGTGTGTGTGTGTGTGTGTGCCGAGCGTGTGTGTGTGTGTGTGTGTGTGTGTGTGTGTGTGTGTGTGTGTGTGTGTGTGTGTGTGTGTGTGTGCGTGCGTGCGTGTGTGTGTGTGTGTGTGTGTGTGTGTGTGTGCGTGTGTGTGTGTGTGTGTGTCTGTGTGTGCGGGGGGTAGGTAGGGGGGGGGGAACGGAAGCGCTGTAAAGCATCGTGAACGCAGCGAGTGTGCGCTTTCTGGAGATTGCCAGCCGTCAGCACGTCTAGCGTGCGCCTACAGCCCACAATCTATGACGCTGTTCAACTAGTCTTGCTTGGGCATGCCTGAGTTGCAAGAGGACGAGGAGGGAGAGGATAGGGAGGAGGAGGAGGAGGACCAGATTTGAGTGAACCTAGGATGCGTCAACCATGTCCGCCATACACCGTCCCGTGCCGCGCCCTTTCCTCAGAAATTCCTACAAGACTTCCTTTTCACTATGCTTTGACGCTTCGCGTATCCCCACCAGCTGCGCGCTGAGTGGTCCAGCCTTCAGCGCCGACGGCCCTTGTTTTCCACCACCAGCAGCCGGTCCCCCAGGCTGGTGCCAGTTGCTTGTCTGGGGTGATGCTCGGAGCTTGGCGCCGCAAGGGCGACGTTCCGTAGCACTTGCACCACTGTGCGCTCGTTCTTCTGGACCGGGCGGCGCCTAGGTGCGTCACTGCGAATGTGGAGCATTTTGCTCAGTGCACGTGCACCGCACCTTTTGTGTGCAATTAGCCTGTACCGCCGTCCCGGACACGCTTGTCGCCGCCAGACCGTAGTTGCGCGGCCGCCGACCAAAAAATCCCCACCAGCCCATCCAGCAACGACGCCCAGGCGAGTTGCCTTGATCAGGGAAGTGGGGGATCATGCAGTGGAGCAAAGAGCTGGGGAAGCCGTGAAATCGAAATTTGGGATCAGCCTGAGCAGGCCCAGGTGTGAAACATATGTGTCTTCGCGGGCCTGTCTAACGAGGAAGGGCGGAGGAGAAAACTGATGAGGTGGGAGGAGGTAGAGGAGGAGGAGGAGGAGGAGGAGGAGGAGGAGGAGGAGGAGGAGGAGGAGGAGGAGGAGGAGGAGGAGGAGGAGGAGGAGGAGGAGGAGGAGGAGGAGGAGGAGGAGAAAAGGAGGAAACAACATGGAGGAGTGGAAGGATCAGAACGAGGAGCATGCTTCCTTTCCTCCACCCCTCTTCTCCGCCTCCGCCTCCTCGTCGTCATCATCATCATTATCATCATCACCATCGTCGTCATCGTCGTCACCATCAACACCATCATGATCATCATCGTCATCATCATCATGATCATCATCATCATCACCATCATCATCATCACCATCATCATCATTATCATCATCGTTACTACTATCCTCCTCTTCCTCCTCCTCCGTCCTTCTCTTCCCAACCAGGGCTGGCAATAAGTTTGATGAGAACAGGAGAAGGGTGATGAGGATGAGGAGGATGATGAGGATGATGATGATGAAAGGGGACGGGCAGACGGCGACGGTGATGACGATGATGATTCTCAGGCTTACGCCATAACGCCGACCCTTGGGGCCTTTGGGTTTCCCGAGTATCTAATAGCCTTTGGCCCATCCCGCCACCGTGCCTGGGCTGTGGGTCAGAGTTCTCGTAGATGCTTCTTGGGGTTTCTTCAGCTCCTCAATCAATTCTAGACGCTTCGCGTATCCCCACCAGCCCATCCAGAAACGACGCCCAGGCGAGTAGAGGGTCGTCCTGAGGGGCTTTTCGGCGTCTTGGGTGCCTCGAGGGGGCCTCTTTGGGCCGCTTGGGATCCTCTTGGGGGCCTCCTGGTCTTGGGGCCTCTTGGGGCCTTGGGGCCATCTTGAGGCCTCTTGGGGCCTCCTGGTCGCTTCTTGGGGCCATCTTGGAGGACATCGATCAAAGAAGAGGGGAGCTTCAATTAGGGTTGCCCCCTCAGGAGGCCAAAATAGGGCCACAACCATCGTAACATCAATGATTTTGGCTTCAAATAAGAGGGGAGCTTCAACTAGGGTTGCCCCCTCAGGAGGCCAAAATGGGGCCACATCCCTCGTAAAATCAGTGGTTTTGGCTTCAAAGAAGAGCGAAGCATTAACTAGCCTCGCCCCCCCAGGAGGTCAAAATGGGGCCCAAGCCCTGGTAAATAAATCATTTTGGCTTCCTCGCCGAGGCCGTTTTGGACGCCCAGACCGCTCGCGGCCCCCCCCGTCCAGGTCCACGGGGAGGGGGTAGGGGGAGGGGTAAACCCTTCCCCGAAGGGGAAGAGGGAGGGGTGGAAGAGGAAACGCTCTAAACCACCTCCGCCCAGAGGGCTGGTGGGATTAAAGCCTTGGCTGCAGCAGCAGCAGCACTGCTGTGAGCCTCTGGGTACTCCACTTGGGGCCAGAGGCACGGGTGGCGGTTACAAGCGTTCGCGTCTGCTGTTTCTTCATCTGCTTCCACTGTGGCCCGCTCCCAGTCACAGAGAGGTGTTGGTAGCGATGGTGCTGCTGTTCTGATGGTGCCGCGCGCAGAGGCCCCGTTGGTCACTCGGTGTTTCGTGGGGTGCCTTTCGCGAGCTCTCTGGAGGCCTGTTCAGGCGCTCCTCTGTCTCCGAGAGCACGCGGGTCCGTCTCGAGAGGACGAGGATGACGGAGGAGGGGGAGGAGTATGGATGAGGAGGAGGGGAGGGCCGCAAGGGCAGGGGTACGAGAGGGCCAGAGCTTCTTTCACAAGCAAGAACACGACAGGTGGGCATTCTGGTTGCCTTTGCCACGGGGAGCCGGATTCCTCGCGCTTCGTGGTGTGCACGTCCAGAGCTTGCAGGGCATGGGCATTTGGAGGTCTCCTAGGAGCCTTTTGGACGCCTCCTGTTTGCATCTTGGAGGGATCTCGGCGCCTCTTGGGAGCTTCTTGGGGCTATCTTGAGGCCTCTTTGGGGGTTCTTGGGCCGTCTTTGGACGCTCTGGAGCCGTCTGGCGCCTTCGGAGTCCGTTTTGTCGAGGCCCGGTGAAGGGCCCCAGATGCTGAACGTTGAGAAAAACCTTCCCTTACGATTTTTCACGACGCGATGGGGGTCTGCAGTGACATCCGCCGCCCAGCACTGGTCCGTATACAGTGTCTGTGCACCTGCGCGCCTGCATTCTCGTGACTCTTCCTGTTTGCATGACCTTCGCGACAACTGGTCCTCTGCCGCGGCGCCGTCTGGGCGCGGCTCCTGGCGTGCGTGCGTGCGTGCGTGCGTGCGTGCGTGCGTGCGAGGGGGGGGGGTCTAGAGGGGTCTAGGCTCAAGTCGGACACGTCCCTCTACAAGAGCAATATTCAAAAATCATGTGGATATGGTTCGTCCAAAATCCGCGTGTGTGAGAACATGCCCGACCTGCGTCTGGGCCTCCCCCCCCTCCTCCCCCTCCTTCCCTCCTCCGCCCCCCCCCCTCCCCCTCCTCCCCCCCCCCTCCTCCCCTCCCCTCCTCCCCTTCCCCCCCTCCTCCCCCTCCCCCCCCCCCCCCCCCCGGCCAGAGAGGCGCGCTGCGCCAAGGCTTAGCAGGCCCCCCCGTCCACCCTCACCCACCCCCCCACCCACCACCCACCCCCCACCCACCCACCCACCACCATCCATCCATCCATCCATCATCCATCATCCATCCCATCCATCCCACCCTCCACTCCCCCCTCCCTCCCTCCTCTGGCCCCCTCCCCCCTGATCCCCACTCCCCTCCTCCCCCCCCTCCTCCCCTCCCTGCCCCCCCTTCTTCCCCCTCCCCCTCCTCTCCCCCCTCCCCCTCCCCCCCCCTCCTCCCCCCCCTCCTCTGCCCCCCTCCCCCTCCTCTGGCCCTCTCCTCCCTCCTCTCCTCCCCCCCCCCTTCTCGCCCCCCCTCCTCCTCCCCTCTCCTCCATCCGCCAGAGGCGCCTCCGCGGCTGGCGCGGCCACAGGTCGTGCCTCCGGCGGCGCCGCCGACCGCCGCGAGGCGGCGGCGGGTGGCGGGCTTCAGGCCGCAGGTGCCGATCGGGCGGGTGGGGCGGGGCCTGCAGGGTTCGGGTTGACCCAAGAGGGGGTCCAGCGACAAGGGGGTGGTGCAACATATTTGGTGAAAAACATTGCTGGTCGGTGCTGGGTGGTGTGTGGGAGGTGTCGGGTCTGCTTGCGAGGATCGCTCGCCAAGTCCCCCCCTCCTGTCTCGGGCTGTTCTGGTCGCTCCCCTTGGGATGCCGACGATTTTTGAACCGCCTAAATCGCAAAGTGATTGCACTGCCCTGCTCAGATAATCCATTTGTATTCACTTGCCTGCGCTGTAAATTCTATAGCTCAAGGGCCCAAGTCAAAGGCCTGCGCTGTGCGCGTGCTCCTTTAACCACGTCGGACACCCGAAATTGGAGGAAGAGAGACTCTGGTAGACACCCTGAGCAGAAGAGTATGACAGTTTATAAGGATTACCACCTTCCCATCCCCGTCTGAGCAGTGATTTCTTTTCAGCCACCCAGTGGTGATGCAGCACTAGCGTGGAACTGTCCTCTCATTCTGTGGTGTGGGCGTTGCTGCCAAAAAGAGGGGGGGAGGAGGAGGAGGAGGAGGAGGAGGAGGAGGAGGAGGAGGAGGAGGAGGAGGAGGAGGAGGAGGAGGAGGAGGAGAGAGGAGGAGGAGGCGGAGGCGGAGGAGGAGGCGGAGGCGGAGGCGGAGGCGGAGGAGGAGGAGGAGGAGGAGGAGGAGGAGGAGGAGGAGGAGCAGAGGAGGAGGAGGAGGGAGGAGGAGCATGAGGAGGAGGAGGAGGGGGAGGAGGAGGAGGAGGAGGAGAGGGGAGGAGACGGAGAGGAGGCGGCGGAGGCGGAGGCGGAGGCGGAGGCGGAGGGAGGAGGAGGAGGAGGAGGAGGCGGAGGAGGAGGAGGAGGAGGAGGAGGAGGAGGAGGAGGAGGAGGAGGAGGAGGAGGAGGAGGATCGCATGACTGAGGCACCCGCAGGGGCGCGAAGGCAGCCGCGCGTCGTGCCCCGTGGCCCCGGGCACCGGGGAGAGGTGCTGCTCCTCATGGGGAGCACAGCGCGAGGGTGTGAGTCGTGTGGTTCCCAAGGGGACCCCAGGGAAAGGGACTACTGAGACGGGCGATGCCGATGTCTCAAGTCCGGTCGGCTTCGCCCGCAAGGTCGTCGCACGACGCTCTCACTCGCACTTCGAGGTCTCAAATGCAACGCCGCGGTCTCAGAAGTCCCTTTCTCTGGCGTCCCTCTGGGGAACGTGTGAGTGAGGAGAGCCGCGCCTCACCCGGAGCTTGCCAGGCTGCTCTGCCGCGGCCGCGGCGCCCGATGCATCTGCCAGGCTCGCTGGCTCTCAGAGGTCCAGTATGCCTTGGGATCTCGAGGCATGGTGGATATGGACGTGCTCTCGCCCGCGTGGCCGGGCAGATATCCATGTCCATTGCTCCGCGAGTCCTCAGGACACGATCCCGCGGCAGTGGATATGGACATGCTCTGGCGGCGCTGACTTCCCTTGGCGGTGCAGGATGTGGAGCATGAGGAGGGGGGCGGGGCGGAGGGTACGGAAGGGAACTGGGTGCCGAAACGGAACGCGTGCAAAGCGGTGAGCGCACACGGAAGCAAGCAGGGCTGTGGCGCCATCTCCAGGAACCAAGCGGAGCGACACGAGAGAGGTAGGGAGCGGGACGGAGCCACGCCTCTCCTGCTCAGCTCCTCACCCCCCGTTCTGCTTCCTCGCCCCTCCCGACTCCTCGCCCCCGTTCGTCCGCCCATGTGGCTGTGAAGTGTGACAGTCGTGGCAGGCTCTGTCGAAGGCTTGCCCTGCCGCAATCCCAGGAGCCTCGCCCAGCGGCGTGCCGAGTGGGGAAGCGAGAGGGGGCCAGGCCTCCTTAGAGGGCGGCGGGGCCTCGGAGAAGGCTCCGAGCGCCTCGCAGAAGGTCGGAGGCCTTCTGAGCGTCCAGAGGAAGGCCAGCCCCCTCGGCCCTCCTCCCTTGGGCGCGGCGCCGGGCGATGTCTGAGCCGTGCGGCAGAGGACGGGGCCTGGGCTGGGCGTCAGCCCAACCTAGTTATACTGTATGTGCGTCGCCCCCCCGTAGGAATACCGATTTGGATCATCAGTTGGATCATCAGTTTGGACTTGTCGAAAGCTTTTGACAAGGTGGCATGGGATCCACTGTGGCAAGCACTCCGTGATCATGGGGTGTCCGACCATATGGTTTGGCTCATTCGACAACTCTATGCGGACCAAGTGGGTGTGATTGCTGGCGAAAGCACTTACAGTGATGAATTCCCAATTTCTGCTGGCGTCCGCCAAGGGTGCGCACTGAGTGCAAAGTTGTTCACGTCCGCCATGGAATGGGCAATGTCGCGCTGGAAGCAGAAAGTTCGGCATCTGGGAATAGATCTTGGAGATGGTGGAGAGCATCTGACCAACCTGCGCTTCGCAGACGACTTGCTTCTATTCGCATATTCGGAAAGGGAGGTGTGCTTCTTACTCGACGCGCTCGTGTCGGAGCTGCTGAAGGTCGGGCTTGTCCTTAACGCGAAAAAGACCAAGGCGCTTACCACTACAGCACAAGCCCCCTCCACGATCCAGACGCCGAATGGTCTGACAATCGACGTGATCAACAGGGACTCTGCTCATAAATGGTTGGGTTGCATGCTGTCCACAGGGGGAGCAGATTCCCGCACTCTGGATTTGAATTACCACATGCAATGTGCAGCCAAGGCATTCTATGCGAATCGTCGTATTCTGTGTGACAAGCGAGCCTCGGTCACACAGCGATTGAAATTGTTCAATTCCGTCGTAACGACAGTGGCGTGTTTTGCGGCAGAGCATCGCCCGCTATATTTGGATGATTTGAAAACAATGGATATCGAATTTCGTCGCCTCGTACGACAAGTCGTTGGACCACCTCCGGACGTTGATTGGGATGGCCCATGGCATGATGTACTGCATGTTTGGCACGAGCGTGCACGTTACTTCGTCGCGCGTGCTGGTATTCGCACATGGGCAGAACAATGCGTTCATCAATATTGGTCGTTTGCAGAATATGTCCAGCAACTGCCGGAGACGAGGTACATCACGAGAGTTCTGAACTGGTCACCACGCGGTAATCGTAGAGCAGGCCGGCCGTGTCTTACATGGACAAGAAAATTGGAAGATTTCGGCCGTGTGATCGGCTCTCAATGGC